TTATTCTAAAATATATTCAATTTATCTTAAATTTTTCAATTTCACTACAAACTATAAAACATTAAATAATGTATTTTTCATATTTTATAATACATTCGAATAATAGCAATTTTTAAAAAATTGATAATCTTTGTACTCACTTTTACCCGTCAGTTCTGTGTCCAATGTTAAAATTCAAAATTCCTGCGAAATATTGAAGTTTAAACGTCAAGTCCTCGTTTTAACTCAAGTCTTGGTAAATTACCTACAGAGCCCGCCATTTGCACAACAGTCATCTTGAAAGCAATGCAAGCGGCGAAGTTGTGGTGAATGCACGTATAGTTCTAGTCAAAATTTCAGTACTGTGGTAAGTAGTTATTTTCTTACGTATATATATTTCTTTATAATTTATATAACGCTATATGTAATTTGTTGATAAGTAGCATCCCCTAATAAAAAATATCAGTAAAATACTTAATTCCGAATTATAATCTCAAATTTCGCAAACTTCAATTTAAATTCTGCTTGCGCAGAACTTGTTTATTTAATGTTATTATAAACTCGTATAAATTTTGTGTGGGTCCCATATCTAATAATTGAGATATCGGTATACACAAAATCCACCAGCCGCCACTGATGTGTGGTATTATTTGATTTTAAGATATTTAATGTATAATATGCTCAAAGTTGCAATAAATCTAATATTTTCCAATAAATTATGTATTTAATTAGTACCCTGGTATACTCGTCACTTCCCTTGCATTCAAATTTAGAAAACACAGATATTTCGGAAACTGTTTGAAAAAGTGACTGGCCCGGTCTGGAACAGTATGTTTATTATATTATCTATGTTCTCATCACAAAATTTTCTCTGAAAACTATATAAACAAAATGAGGTCAAAAGTTGCCCAACTTTTGTAGAATCACCCATATAACAATATTATTTTGAAATTTTTTTCGCAAAATATATTGTTATTCATGCTGATTAGTTTGGTAGAAGATGACCAGAAATTATACTTTTTATTGTGGGTTACTTATAAGGAAACATTTTGTCAACAATTCCCAGACGTTTAAGATTAATAGGAGAAATTTATAAGCATAATATTCGTATTATAACATATATATTATTAAAATTCATTTTATGTCCAAAGTATAATTTATTTTACTGTTCTATTTGATTATACATATTGTTTAATGGAAATATACATGTTTTGCATAACTTTTACCTATTATTAACTAATTTTGGATTAAAAATTATTGCCATGAAATTCTTTTACAATATCAGAATGAATATTTAATATATATATATATATATATATATATATATATATATATATATATATATAAGTTTTTAATTTGAATACCTAGCTGTTTTTTAATTCACACTAGAATGTTCGCATATTCAATTAAAATCAAAAGGCCTATGGGAATTTAAGCTTAAATACTAGATATTTGCTCTAAAATCGAAATAAAATGTATATTAGTTATTTAGCAATAAACATACTTTACTTAATTAAAATTTAAAATTAAATTTAAAACAACAATAATTTTTTTATGTACTTATAAACAGGAAGCAACAATTTGGGTTTTAAGTTAATTAAATGATATATTTAAATGTTTTTTAATAATTTTTTTTTTGAAGATAGCTATTTATTATTTTTTTAAACCAGCTTTATATTTTAGTTAATTATGAGACAAACAACTATAATTAAATAAATTTATTTAAATGTCGATTGCATCTTAAACCACAATGGTTTAAATGTGTAAATATAGCAATAACAATGGATAGTGAAAGGATTCAACTTAATAAATTAAATATAAATCCTCAAAATTTATTGTTTGACTACCGCAAATTTTAAGAAACAACAATAGCCTTAGCAATAATTCATCGAGTTGGAATTTAAATTTTGCAACCCACTTAAATGTGGAGATTATAAAATTTTAACAAAAACCTAATCTAAATTTTTATCATCTAAATCACGTATTTCGAAATATTTGGCGACACTTTGTATTGTGGCAGACTCATTTTAATGTCTAAACCGTAGACTTGACATTCCTTTGTAAATCCTCACACACAAGTCGAGTGGATTTAAATCTGGAGAGCGAGGAGGCCACAGAAATAACTTTTGACTTCATTTTGTTTATATAGTTTTCGGAGAAAATTAAGCAGTATTTTGTTATGAGAACATAGATAATATAATAAAAATACCGTTCCAGACCGGGCCAGTCACTTTTTCAAACACTTTCTGAAATATCTGTGTTTTCTAAATTTTAATGCAAGGGAAGTGACGAGTATACCAGGGTACTAATTAAATACATAATTTATTGGAAAATATAAGATTTATTGCAACCTTAAGCATATTTTACATTAAATATCTTAAAATCAAATAATATCACACATCAGTGGCGGCTGGTGGATTTTGGGTATACCGATATCTCAATTATTAGATATGGGACCCTAATAAACCAAATTTATATGAGTTTATAATGACATTAAATAAACAAGTTCTGCGCAAGCAGAATTTAAATTGAAGTTTTCGAAAAAAAGATAACCGAAACATCGAACATGGAACTGACGACACGGTACTGATGAACGGGATACAAATTTGTGATTATAATTCGGAATTAAGTAGGAATTTTGAATTTTAACATTAGACACAGAAAAATATTAAAATACCTACTCTATTGACTGATGACATCAAGTTGTCCAACTTTTGTAGAATAACCCATATATTATTGACATTCAAATAGTTACTAATTTTTTGGAAATATGTGTTAGATAAAATATTTAACACTCTAATGTTTTGATTATAGAATTACACAACTACACAACTTTCCAAATTAATTAATAATTTAAAAAAAAATGACGTAACATATGTGTTTTGCAAGGGCCATCATCACAATAAATCTTCTTCACATTGTATGGGCCTAGTTTTATAAATAAATAATAAAAACTAATTGCTATAAGTATCAATTCGTGCCTATTAAACAAGTTAAATGATTATCTACGCATGTTGCGTAGGTATAAATAAAAAGAATTCGATTTTTATTTTGAAATTATCTAACAATAGATTGGGAACAAAGATAATAAAAATCATGACACTATTGAGATGTGAAAATGATTATTTTTTATTTTTGGTTGTTTCACTGTTAGTCCAGAATGGGTTTTTTGGTAAGCCACCAGGTCTAGTAATAACATAACATAAGTGTTCTGCACTAATGCAAGAATTTTAAGAAATCATACATTTTGAATATTAAAGCTTCACGGAGGATAGGATTTTGAATGTTTTTTTAAACATCCTTTGTATATTTGAAATATAATTGTACATACATAAAATATGTATCAAAAGATATTACACTTCACGGAGGATAGGTTTTTAAGTAGCAAATTAATGAACTTATTTTTTGAATTATGAAACAGCAACACTCTCATCCGCATATAAATTCTAACTGACCTTCAGGAATCACATGCATCTATAATGTCGTAAACAGAGGTTTTTGCTCATTTCAAATGATTAAAGCGCCATCCGTTGCATAAAATTTAAAGCAAAACAGATTCACGGAGGATAGAATCATATTTTTAGTATGCTTTTGCTACCTCATATATTTGAAAACATATAGGTTAACCTAGAAAGAGTAACAGTCACGGAGGATAGGTTTTAGACTTTTAAAACAATGTAAAAAATAATTAATTGCGGTTAAAAATCTGAAACCTGAGCTGTAATATCTACCTAATTATAAAAGATCAAAACACAATAAATTGTTTAAATCATAGTTTTTTTCAAATAAGGTTTTTATTGCCAAATCAAAAAATGTCAATGTTGCTACCGCGCATATGAATCACACTGTATAATGAGCAAAAATAGTAAAAAAAGTGTTTATAAATAAAAATATATCCAGGATGTGGAATGACCTATTTTGGAAACCATTCAGAATAATATAACATTATAAATGTTAATGGTCTTAGTTTATATGGGAAATTAAAAATAAACAAACACCTATATTAAGTAACTCTTACGCCAGTAAAATGGAATGTGTATATTAAATTAAATTAAATTAAGATGTTTAAATACATTTAAAAACAAAAATAAAAACTTTTTGTGTAAAAATTAAAAAAAAAAACAAAATAATTCGACGTAATTAACATTTCAAGTTGAAATCCTTTCTGCTAACAGAACAATTCAAATAAATTACACAATACTAAAAAGTAGCTATTAAACGATTTAGCAGGTATGAGATAATGTTTTTTTAATAAAAAATTGCAAATTTTTTACTACAATAATTATGATAAAATTACTAAAATTTTTGTGACCAGGATGTTCAAACAAACCCAGGAAAAACCATAGCCAAGAATCCTGCTATGGGTAACTGAAAAGGCCAAACATGAGTCAGCTATAATCAAAAAAATATTTACTTACCAGGTATTTTGTGAAATTAAATAAAAGAAGATGTTGGTTCAAGGTCCTAATTTTTTTTAATAATTATTTTCAAGTATTCTTTTATAATAATAGGAAATACAATTTATCAGATAATTTTTATATTAAAAATGAATTTTATAATTTTGTTTCCTTGTAGCGTAAGTTTTCATATCACCCTGTATAAATGTATAGTCTTCAATTATAGTATTGAATTCCCGACACGAAAAACTTTAAAAAGTATTTGCAAACATTTGCATAATATTAAAATTATCCCATTTTTTAATTCATTTTGTTTCATCAAAATATTTTGGTATTAATTACATGTTACCAAACATATTATATTACTTACATACAAAAGAAAAACGTGGGAAGTCATTGCCATTCTGCAAGGATTTATTCCGGTCTATATTAATTTTTAAACAGTGAAATCACGAGTATTATCATGTAAATTATAAAATTTAAATAAAGATTTAGATTTAAATTTAACCTATGTATATTAAAAACACCCTGTATAACATAACAATTGTTTTTGCTACTCCCCAACATCTGCGAAAACATCATAGTGCAAAAAATTGCAGCAAAAACTGGAGCAGGTTCTGTTATCAAAACAGTGGCATTTTTGTTGTTGCAGAATAAGGTTCGAGTTAAATTGTAGTCAAAATATTTACGTGATCTAACATTACCATAGGGCCTTGTGAGGTTAAGGAATATAGTGTCGACGATAATAATTATTATAAAAACAATATTTGATCTTCAAAAATGGCTGATGTAGATAAATCGGATTTTTCTGAACTATTTGTGTATGTATCGTTTTTTAATACCAATATTTTTACTTTGAAATTAATAACAATAAATTTATTTAAATATATTTTAACCTCCTTAATTAAATTAAGTATTTTTAAAATATACAGGGGTTTTAAATTTGAGGTATCATTTTAGTTATAATAAATAAATAGGTATTTAAAAAAGTAAAATTTGTTTTAAGATTTTATTGTTTTTTTAATATTTCAGCTATTCTCCCATAATGATGACCATAGCTGGAGTTATAACTATAGTATTGATGACCATAGGTATAGTGGGCAATCTTTTGACAGTGGCGGCCCTATTAAAACACGCAAAAATAAGAACAGTGGCGGCGGCTTTTATAGCATGGTAGGTACAAAAAATATTAAAATGTTTTTAAACTTATTTACACGGAAAAAAGCTATTCTATATTAAAGATTAATTCTTATTTTAAGAAAAACTTTTATAAGTATTATTTTAAAACTCAATCACCCTCAAATAAAATATACACTATGCTATTTAAGAATAAGTATTTTTTGATACAAATGTTATAATTCTTGGCGATACAATATTTACTTTTGGATTAAATACAAGGTATGTTAAGCAATAATTTTTTCAAATTAATTTTTTTACCAATATTAACTAATCTTAGAATAAATATAATTATATTTATATCCATTATAGTTTTATATCTTTAAGAACAGAATAGAGGAAATTTTCCAAAATTTGGTATAATCGATTGTTAATATTAAATTAAGAATAAGATTATTTCATTTAAAGTCTTTCTTAACATTTAAATAAAGGTATTCTTACATTTAGATTGTTGTAGAGATTGTAAATACAGTGTGTCCCCGAAATGACGTTTTTACGGAACGCAGTCTTTTGAAAATTTGGCATTTAAGGCTTTTTTGGTTATGTATCTGTCAAAGTATAGTCAATGAAAAAAATAATATTTATAGTGTTACCGCTTATGTTTAAGCGTTAAAAGTTAATAAATCTTTATAGTATCACAATAACAATGGTTGGTTTAAGAATTTAGGAATATAAATACTGCATTTAATGAAATTCCAAAGTGTAAGGTGCAATATAAGTTATATTTTTGTGCATTGGGTCTACATTTCTCCATAAAATAGTTTTAACTAAACAGCATTTATTAAAAAAATCTAACTTCTCTATTATGAAATAAGATTATCTGTATTAAAGGTAGGTTAATGTATCAGAACAAAAAATATAATTTTGTATTTTAAGGTTAGAAAAATCTATTTTGACCAAAATAAATAAGTTGATTATTTAAAAGAGTGTGTTAATATGGTCATAAATAAATATAGGTATACTAAAAAATTGAAGCTTTATACTTCTAACGACAAAACTTGTGCATACCTCTCGGCATACTTACTTTAAGTTAGATTATAATAAAACAAACAATTTTTAGAGAAACTTGCAATGTGAAAATATTTAATACTCCCATGACATGTGATTTATTAAAATTTTTAAAGTTATAATGATTTTTTGATGTAGATCAAATTCATGGAAGCTTTTTATCTATTTGTATTGACAAAACTTTATGTAGGTACACTTTAAGCTGGATAAGAAAAACTACCACATTTTTAAATACCATATTATACAGTCTTTTAAATAATACAAAATACTTATTTATTTTGGTCAAAATAAATTTTTCTAACCTTAAAATTATAAAATTAGATGATATTTTTGTTATAATAACCTACCTTTAATAAAGATATTCTTATTCCATAATAGAGAAGCTAGATTTTTTTAAATATTCTGTTTAGTTAAAATTATTTTATGGAGAAAACCAGATATTTGGACCAAATGCACAATAATATTACTTATTTGGCACCATACACTTTAGAATTTCATTAAATGCAGTATATTCTTAAATTCTTAAACCATCCATTGTTATTGAAATTTTATAAAGATTTATACATTTTTAACGCCTAAACATAATATTATTTCTTTCGTTGACTATACTTTGACAGATACCTAACCTGAAAAGCCTTAAATGCCAAATTTCAAAAGACTGCGTTCCGACGTGGTCACGTGGTGGGACTTTGAGGTGTGGAGCATAGTACATACAGTATTTAACATTTTTAATTTTTTTTTCAGTTTGTGTGTGTCCGATTTGTGTCTTTGCTTCTTGGTACTACCCTTCTCGGCAAGTCAGTTTTTCCATGGCACTTGGATACATGGAGATACATTGTGCACGATAATACCGCTGGTACGTTACGGCAGTGTTGCCATATCGTTATCAAGCGTAGCTATGATTTCCGTTAATAGATACGTTTTGATTGCCTTTCCTCATCTATATCAGACTATATATAGTAAATTTAACGTGGCAGTGTATATATTAGGGATATGGGTGTTTAGTTATGGTATACAGATACCAATTTTGATGGAGAAATGGGGTAAATTTGGGTTTGATGATAAACTAGGTACATGCTCTATAACTTTAGATGATAACGGGTCAACTGCTAAAACAACATTGTTAATTGTTGGTTTTGCGTTACCATGTTTGATAATTATCATATCATATGCAAGTATTTTTTATGTCGTACGAAAGTCACATAAACGTCTTCAGGCTCATACAACAGGCAAACGCTTTGGAGGTAACGAAATGCAAATAACCAAAATGGTGTCCATAATATTTATATGCTTTCTCATCTGCTATCTACCTCTAACAATCGTAAAAGTTTTCGACAGTGATGTCAAATATCCACTATTACATATAATAAGCTACCTGCTTATATACCTATCATCCTGTATCAATCCTGTAGTCTACGTCACTATGAATAGACAGTATAGAAAGGCCTACTTGGATACACTGCTATTCAAGAAGGCGTCAAATTTGACATCGCAGAATACTCCTTAAAAATGTTTGAAGTTGTGATTTTTTTTTTTTGAATTTTTTTGACTGATGTGAGAAGTATTACTTTTGTTATTTAGTTTTTATTTTTTTTCTGTGATTTATGATCTAGTTTAAAACTATTTAATTTAATGTTATTTATTAATTTTTCTATGAAATGTTTTTTATGTTATGTTATGTTTTTCAATTATTCCCGTAGGGTATTTTTTATGTTATTAATTTTTGTAAGACTGTAGCAATAAACTTTATTATACCACACAAACAATTTTTATTTGGCAAACCCTCTGACATTACATGACATTTATAAAACAATTTCATTAGTGTCTACCAGTATACGAATCCATTTTTATAACATTTCAGCTACAATAATTATATTTCGTCAATAATTCTCATTATGTAGTCATTAAGACTGCATCCTAAATGACTAAGAATGAATCGCATGTTACGAAATTTTCTTTGAATTGTTAATGTAATCTTCGGAGTAAAAGTTCACTCTTTTGTATCAATATATGTGTGTGTGCACACGTATGTTTATATGAGATGACTTTTTTAATTAAAAAATTATTCTTTATAAATTAGTTTAACGATAACTTAGGAAATAACTATTACTACATTATATTTGAGTTAAGAAACCAATTAATGCATCATGCGATTTAGCTTGAGTTTGGTTCGTTGACATAGTTTTACGAGAAACGACAAAATATCAAGCAACACTTTTTTGTATTCAACAAGTTATTCAAAATTAGTAAATCTAGCTATTGAGATTTTAGATTTGGTGATAAATGTTGAAATTAGATATTTAGATATTTATCAATTATTTTACGAAACGCATCCAGAATTGCCTCATTCTTTGCCAGGGGACTGTTCGTCCGCTGAAAGTACCTACAAAGTAAAAAAATATTTTGTTGGAAATTGAGAACTTAACAATTTTTAAAGAGTAAATAATCGAAGAAGCAATTTGACTATTATTTGATATATTAACTTTTTTATGCAAAATAATACTTCCTGTTTTACCGGAAATGTCTTTAACTTTGTTATTTTAAACAGGACACCTCATATATTTTTACATTTTTGAATTCTAAATAAAATTCTGAGTAAAATGGCTATACCATATACATACTATACCTAAAGTCAATATTTTTCGAGTTATTAATTTTTCATCCAAATATTTTAATTAATTTTAAACAATGACAGATTAAGTGGTAACCATGGATACTGTCACATTAACCCACATGTAGAATTTCACAGGTTTGTTGATACAAAATAGTATTAAAAATATTAGAAATTGTTAAATGTCTCTGAAATTTTAACTTTAGAAAACAGTTATTATAATACCAATCGAAAGATTCTTTAATTTTCTTTTTGATTATGTTAAAACATACAGGGTTTTACATTTATAATAAAAACGTTATTATTGTTTGAAGTTTGCCTAATTTCAAATGGGTTTTCTCAAGATATTTGTCGAAAAACCTTAAAAAAATTAAATGTTTTAATATTCCAAAAATTCCAAACCTAATAACCAAAAAATCAGAGGCTATTTTTGATTGACGTGCATTTAGCAAAATTTAACGAAAAAAATTAATATCTTGAAAACTATTGACTTTAGGTATAGTCTAAATCAAATTGTATACGCTATTAAAATTTCAAATCCATATCGTTTGCGTTTCTCCAGAAACACCCTGTATAGCATTATATTAAATATAAAAAAATGCAAAATAACTAATTAAAACATAAGGTTTTTATTCTAAAATTGAAGCTTGCTTATCGAGTAAAAAATAAAATTAAAGTAGATTATAATTTCTACCTTGCTGACACTGTCTATAATTAATTAATAAATTAATTAATAAAAATAATGTTTTGAGTTTTTAGTAAACTTATAAATTGATTTTTTGTCTGCGATAATAAACAGATCCTGAAAACAGTGGCGTGGGTGTAGTAATAGGATGGTAAGGCAGTGAAAAAAAAAAAAAAAAAGGTTCGTGTCTTATTGGCTATTGGGGTCTCTACTGGGAAAAAAAAATAAAATCGAAAATTGAGATAATCTTGTGCAACGTTACAATTAACGTGAACCAAAACTAACAAATTTAAAAAAAAAAGATGCTTCATTCTTACGTCGAAAACCTTGCCTACGACCTTGTCGACATGTTACGCCACTGACCAACGTTCATACCATAGCCTACTACACTGTTCCAACCGCAATAAAGGATTGAAAATAATGAAGAGTGGGCTGGGTGGGGAATTCTGTTGCCTCTGACTCACGGCGCCTTTGATCAGACGAAGGCATCTTCCAGATCCAGGATGCGCCACTATAAAAACAAAAGCCAAACGTCCTGCAGTTCAGTATAGTCGCAGGAGACGCGTGGTGAAGTGATTGAGTTTGGCGAGCCAAAAAATTTGATTTATCTCGATCTGGTTTCTCTCCATACTGGTTGTTGCACCGTTTGGTGACTAATTTGTAGTGTTAATGTAAGTTTTTTTTTGTTTGAAGAAGGACTGTTTTAGTGTTGATAAAGTGTGAAGTGCAGAACATCAAAAGGACTACAAAATATTGAGTGTTTGATTTGGGTTTTTTTTTCTCAAAATGTAAAAAATTCTTTATAATTTTTTTTTTGGTAAAAAATGTAAAATTAAAAATATTTTGTAGTCCTTTAGTAATATAATACTTCAACCATAATTCAAGTAATTTAAAAATACCAAAAATCATTACGTAATACATAATTATATTAAAAAAAAAAAAATTCAATAAATTAATAATAAGTGGATAACCTTTTTAAACAACTTATTTTATTTTAGCATATTGTTAATATTATTTATTTGGTATTTTTGAATGTTAATCGTTTGGCAAAGCTAATTTTCCCCAACCCTTAGCAATATTAAAAAAAAATACTCGCTGATAATTAATGAAAGCAAAAGTATTGCTGTCTATGAAGAAGATGCTTAACCTGAATACTCATTATAAGTGTGCCGCCTTACGTAAGTCAAAATATCAACGAAAGTTTTTAATATTTATGAGAAAATCAATAATGATGATAAATGAACCATAAATGGTTTACCTCTGAGAAATTACACGAGATAACCTTTAGAGACCCATTATACATTATGTGGAATATGAATGTTGATATTAGAAACCTAATACAGTCGTAATAAATGTATACAACGATTTTCGATTTTTCCTCCATTCATTACAGCAAACAATAATGTGAAATTTAACCAAAAAAAAAAAACACACTGTAGGTATAACTGTCAGATGCAAAGTAAAAGTAGATCGACATAATAATTAATTTTGGGATTCCCGTGTTAAAACCTTGTTTTATTTTATTTTTCGACTCAACTGTAAATTTTCTCTCTTCGTTTTTTGGTTGTTTTTAACACGCGATCCTCTTGCATTTTAATTTAATCAAGCCATTGCGAAATCTGTTTTTTATTTAAGTCGCCACAGGCCATTTTAAAGCGATTTTCTCATTACCAATGGCAACATTGCATGATTCTTATGTTACATATACATACAGGGTGATTTTATTTGCGTTGAAATTAGCCCAACTAAATGGTAAAGTTGTTAATTTATAGTGGTTTTCATAAATGTCATATCATCCAAATTATAAAACCTACATTTCTTAATTTGGTTGCAGAAACGTTTATATCACCCTTATATACCCCTTAAAGAGCTTATTTGGGGAGTTTATAAAGGTTATCGGTACCTATTTTAGTAAAACTATAGGCACATTTAAAATATATATTTCTTCATAGGTACGCTATCTTTCTTATTGTCATCCTATTCATAAACACATAAATAAGAATTAACTCACAATTTTTATTTAAACAAATTATAGACACAATAGTTTTATAAAACAGGTAACGGCAAACTTTATAAACCTACTGGTAACAGTTACTAAAGGTTATATAAAATTTTTGTAGAAACAGAGTTTACAGTAACCTTATATGACCATTATAAAACTAGTAAACTATATGGCGATTTTATATAATTTGACAGCTCATATATAACCTTTATATTACCATAAGTAGTAAAAATTGTTTATTGGGAGGTTACTTGAAAAAAACAAAAAAATTAATTATTTCACACTTAAGGTCATCAGGATACATAAAAAATTCGGCAATGAACTTTAAAAAATTTGAAATAAAGTATTTATAATTTTTTTCCGGTTTTGTTTCTTTTTGTCTTGAATCACCAGTTGTAAATCATATGAGAAAAAATTGTTTATAACAACTTGAAAAATTGACGCCATTAAATTTTGAACAATGACAGATAGATATTCACTAATTTGAACAACATTTTTGAGACCTTATTAGCCGCCAATATGTCGGTATTTCAATCCTCTTGTTTTAAATCAACCTGAGGTCATTTGATTAAAATTATTCGAAACCATGAATGAACATAATTGTATACTTCTTTGTTGTGTTATAATATGTACTATGAATAAATTAAACTATATATAGTTACATGGTGCTAATTTAAAAATAATTGTAATGATTAAATTAAAAACCTTAAAAAAAAGATTAAATCCATACACTACCCCTAATTAAAAATAATAACATATGTATGTATAATTATAAATTATGTATGCATCATGGATTATTATACTCATTAATTTTCAACATTTAACGCTTCTTCCATAAAACTGTTAAATCCTTTAAAACCATTGAATATAATTAGGCATAAAATTATAGTTTACAATTTTTTTAACTTAGATTACCTCATAACAAGTTTTTTGAACTTTTATATACTATTTTGTTGTACCAAACTTAGAGCAAGCCCAAGCTACAATTCTCTTCCATTTATACTTATGGTATAATTGTTTTATATGATAATTGGTAACCTTTACAGATTAGGTATCATATTATAAATAATTATAAAAATATTAAATGGACATTTCAAGGCAGAAATGAATTCCTTGTTATGAATTTCTCACGTCAATCAAGGATTGATGAACATAATATTTTTTCAACATTTTTGACATTTAAAAATGTATTAATTAAGTTACCAGTACACAGTAAAAAATGCTTCTTCGAGATGTTAAAAAAAATTCTTACAGACATTCCAATTTCCACATAAAAAACGAGGTAAAATCCATGTCAGGTCTACCAACTGCAGGCGTATCGGATATCCTTTTAAAGTCATGCCCATTAAACTATTACAGTATTCCTAGAAAACAAATACTGATATACGTGATCGGCATTTGTCGTTGCAAATGCAAGCACTACAGCAAATATTTTAATTTAGTTAAATTACATCATGATATTTTTTTTTTTTACTTTTAGACTTACCTTGTATATTATAAATACAGTAAAGCACGTAGGTGTTTCGTTCGACAGTTTTTATTATCGAGAGTTAATTTAGCAATTTAGATATAACATTTTGTTGGATAATATTTAATAGCTGTATTGTCAAATTTCGAAAATTTATTGGTCTAACGTGTTGTAAATCTGTTGTGATGGTTTAAATCCGGGATCACCAAGAGTTGACCTTTCTTTTAATAACAAAAAAATGTTTATTCATCAAACAAAACAAACACAAATATATACAAGGTGTTGTTCTTGGCTACCTGTTGATTGGAGCCTCTAAAAATGCTTTCTCCTATATAACACTCAGCAGATGTTGAAGTGTTTTTAAATCAGCGATACGCTTACATGCTAACTAGCAATAGAATAAAAAAGAGAGAGACCAATGATGGTAAAACGACGAACCTGACAAAATAATCGATCCACACAAATTTTCGATGAATTTCAATCGCAAATAACTTTTTTATTTGGTTTCGGATTTAAACGAATATTAAAGAATATTGTAGATAAATTAATGGACAATCGCTCAAATTTTAAAAAATTACCAAAAAATAGACGTACGTTTATAATATACAGGTTTAAACAAAAATATGTTTTTTACCATAAGTTTAAGACACTCTGTAGAGTGGCAAAACCGTATATTGTTCTAAATTAAGTTTTATTTATCAAGTCACATCTATTCTTAACAGTTTTGTATTTGGTTCACCTCGATATATTTATTTTTGTGGAAAATATGGATTTTTTAAAAAAACATTGCAATTTCCAATATTTTTCTGTATGAAGAACTAAGGTTGCTATGGTCCATCCATATGCTATGGAGAATGACAGTGACAGTTTTGTTGAATCATCCCATACTTGGACATGTCATACACGGCTTTCAAAAGCTATCAAATTGTTTTTTGCAAATTAATGTTTAAATTTTGAGGTGTCTTTTCACTTTAAAAAATGGATATGTCCCCGACTGATGTTGCCAGAGCCATTAATTTAATCCAGGATGGACGGTCACAGTATTAAGTGTTTTAAACGTCACAAGAAGTAAAGTACAAAGGGCAACATCAGTCGGAGACATTTTTAAAAGTAAGAAGACACCTCAAAATTAACACATTAATTTACAAAAAACAATTTGATAGCTTTTGAAAGCTGTATAGACATGTCCAAGTATGGGATGATTCAATAAAACTGTCACTGTCATCCTCCGTAGGCTATGGATGGACCATAGCAACCTTAGTTCTTCATACAGAAAAATATTGGAAATTGCAATGTTTTTAAAAAAAATCCATATTTTCCACAAAAATAAATATATTGAGGTGAACCAAAAACAAAACTGTTAAGAATAGATGTGACTTGATAATTAAAACTTAATTTAGAACAATATACGGTTTTGCCACTCTACAGAGTGTCTTAAACTTATGGTAAAAAACATCTTTTTGTTTAAACCTGTGTATTGAGCGATTCTCCATTAATGTACAATATTCTTTAATATTTGTTTAAATCCGAAATCAAATAAAAAAGTTATTTTATTTTTATTTCTTTTTTTTCAGAAAAAAATATGTTTCCACTAATATTAGTGGGAATAACGTTAGTCTCCTGTACTCTGGGAGATGTCAAACACGTTTTAGATGGAACCGTTGGAGGACAGCACTCATCCAGCGTCGACCCAAAAGAAATCAACAGGTTGGCTTATTCCGGCTCTGCCAAAAGTCCCAGGGACTTTTGGTGGATGGCTGATGACTCTCCACTCAAAGAAGCCTATGATTACTACAAGAAGTGCTCACTGAAAGGTACAGTTTGTTACTAACCTTATGCTCAGAAAAAAAAAAATTTTTTTTTTTTTAGGAAACTGCGCCAATGTAGGTAAATCAGTTGCTGGAAGCGAAATCGGCAAAAACCCATTCTTGAACGGAGATTTCAAAAATGGCAAAATTCCAACAGGAGGTGCAGTAAAATCAGCTGGTTTTCATAGTGGTATGTATATATTTTTTAACCCGAGTTCAACAAACTTTTTTGCCGCTAATCGTTTCTAAAAACCACACCAATAAATCACACTGAAAAGATCCTCATCACAGATAAAAAAACCACAAAAACTATCATTTAAATCTTATGTCATACTTCAATAAACATCTCCCATTTATTACTTTTATTGCCTTTTTAAAAATCACGTAGGCTTTTGCGAGTACATTTTTTACCACGCCTAGTATAATTTGCAAATTCGTTTATAGTAGTAGCAGCAAGCTTTCACTGACATATTATAATATTTATAGCCTACAATTAAATAACGGGTTTGAATGAACGTTCCCAATTTTATTTTGTAAACAAATAAGTCAAAAATTTTATGTTTTTTTAATTATTATTAAAACAAATCAAAATCCGGTTATTTGTTCTACTATTGACCGGTTAATTTTGTCAAATTATTATAAAATTAATTTTGTCACAATAAAAAAAATCTTGCCAAACCATATAAAAACGGTTATAACATTTAACCATTTTGACGGTTAATTTTGTTAAAATATATTAAAAATTTATTAAATTTACAAAAAAAGTCAATTATATTTTTAACGAATAAAAACTAAAAACAAAATCGTTTTAAATTATACAAGCCACAGTTTTAACCGGTCAAACTTAAAAATGATATTTTGATGGTTAATATTGTGAAATTTTTATTGCAAATTGATTAAATGTACCACACCGAAAAAAACAAACTTTGACCGGTCAAATATTGCAGGAAAACTTTGTTAAACATATCTACGGTTATAACAATGTCATTTGACGGTTATTATTATTAAATTATTATTGAAAGCTAATGAAATTTACAAAAAATGTGTCTTTATTTTAACAACGCATCTTATCACCGGTTATTTCCTGTTATTGACCGGTTAATCTTGTTAAACCATAACATAAACGGTTATAACAATGTCATTTTTATGGTTAATGCCTATCAAATCAAAAAAACATAATTCAAACATTACATTTTTTCTTTAGGTGCTACTTTGGACCTTTCCAACAACCCATTCCTCAACGGTAAATATGCAACAAATGCTAAGGGAGAAAAGATCCCAATTGGGAACGGCTTTATAGGTGTACAGCCTCAATTCGCTACTAACCACCCACTGACCAATAAAAAACCGTTTAGTACGACGCATCCGCTTTTACAGAACGCGCAAAATGTTTCAGGGAACAAACAGTCAGCTGCAGGTGCACCAGAAGGTACCACCTTGTGCAAAGGACATGGGTACATCTGCGTCGAAAATGGTCTGTGCAAAAATGGGTTCGTTAACCACAATGGAGAAGGACTCTTGCAAATCAGGAGTGATGTAAGTTTTTTTTTTATTTATTTAACCGGTATTTACCTTGTCAAAACAACATTAACAGTTAATATCGTTAACTATTATCAAATATTTTTGACCGGTCAATTTCTGTTATTGACCGGTTAATCCATTTTGACGGTTATTATTGTTATATTATTATTAGGAGGTAGGTAAAAGAAAATTCCTGTAAATAAAAAAAAATGCAATTTTGACCGGTCAATTTTCTGATATTAAATGGTTAATCTTGTTATATATCAAAAACGGTTATACATATCTGAACAGTTAATATTGTTAAACTGTAATTGCAAAATTAATTAAAATGTACAAAAAATCAATCCAAACTTTAACGCAATTTCAACCTTTCAATATCCGTTATTGACCGGTTAATTTTCTAAAAGCAATATACATAATGGTAAACATTATTTAATCAAATTATATAAAAACGGTTATAACAATAACAATGTTATTCATTGTGACGGTTAATTTTGTTAAAATATTAAAACAAAATTCTTGTTAAATTATAATAAAACGCATTATTGTCTAATTATAACTCAATAATATTGTTAAAATATTATTGCAAATTGAAAAATTTACAAAAATGTTCAATCTTTACACAACAAAAAAAGGAAATGTTTTTTGACCGGTCAATATATGTTATTGACCGGTTATTTCATTTGGCCGGTTTATATTGTTAAAATATAAGTACTTAAAAGAAACATCCTGTTAATAGATAAAAAAACGCAATTTTGCGGTCAATTTTCTGTTATTAATTGGTTAATCTTGTCAATACATATTTTGACACTTAATATTGTTAAACTGTTATTGCAAAATTAATTAAATTTACAAAAAACCGGTTAATTTTCTTAAAGCAATATACATAATGGTAAACATAATTTAATCAAATTATATAAAAACGGTTATAACAATAGCAATGTTATTCATTATGACGGTTAATTTTGTTAAAATATTAGTACTTAAACAAAAATCTTGTTAATTCGTTAAAAACGCAATTTTGACTTGTCAATTTAAGATATTGAAGGGTTATTTTTGTCTAATCATAATCAAAACGGTTATAACATTTTTGATCGGTTAATTTATGTTATTTATCTTGTCAAACCATAACAAACGAATATAATTAAAACAAAAAATAATAATAAATTATAAAAACCGAATTTGGATGGTTATTTAGTCAAAACAGCAAGTTTTTGACCGGTTAATTTTTGTTATTGACAGGCTAATCTCAACAAAAAAGGTTGTAAGAAAGCATTAAAGTTTAAAAAATAGGAAGAGTTCTAAAACCAGCTCCAAAATTCCACAAATTGTTTTTGAAAACCATTAAATTTATATAAAAAGTATATACAATTAAAAACCATTCATAGCAAAGAAAAAGCGTTAAATCTTTAACATAATGTGAAAATTATCGAGCAAACAATATAAGTAATACAATAGCTGTAAATTCTGGTTATTGTGAGTTGTCTCGTTATTGGTTAGGTAGGTATGTCAAGAACATTCTTTATATTATATTATAACTATATTATTATTTAATTTAATTTAATTAATTAATCTTAAAGTTTATTAATAGGTTATAATGTATGTTTTCAAATGTGGTATTTGTATTTTTACCGTTCAAAAATCAGTTTTTATGTGTACATCATCTAACAATTAAAACTCCATTAATTATCAGTGAGAAAATTGCATATTAAGGTGGGAAGATCTCACCGAAAAAAATAAGTAGGTTTTTTTGTCATTTAAATGATGCTACTTCACAATGATATAAATGATTTTAGGTAATATTCTCACGATATAATTTTTAAGTATTATGTTTCGTTTTTGTGGAACACCCTGTATTATTATTACAATCAATTTAAGCGATACAAACCGGTTAAAGTTACTCTGTGTTGATTTTAGTAAAGGTTAAGATTCTCTTAGCACTTTATATTTACGCTCGTTTTTTGATTTCGTAACGTATTTATGAAAATAGTCTTTGTAGGTAATTAGCTGGTAATTTATTGGCGAGAAATTGTCTGGTGGTGTCAGATTGGATAAATGATTACCATAGGCGTACGAAATATATTTTTTTTAATTTTAAGATATTTTCGAACACCTTGTATAATACATTTAAATTATAGCCTTAGGCTATAAACTGCCAATCAATAGTTTTTTCTTGCAACTTCAAATGCTGCAACCTTTGGGTTTGGCTACAATAAAAGACAAATAGAATAATTCGATTATTTTGAAATTTTATATCACGAACTATACAACCTTTGACTTTATTATCTAAGGTTGTAATCATTATATCATCCTGCTCTGTTAGTTTTATATTCGTTACTAAAATCAAAACGTGATGCATAACATACATAACAAATTGTTATTTGTATGACCATAATATTGTAAAGTATACATTAAAAAGTGAAATTCCCTCATGACCTTGACATTGTAGACTAAAATAATCCGCTACTTTCTTCTCCATCGCACTTATGTGTTTAAAGCCATTTACATAACCTTTTGATTCTTATTGTTATGTAATTGATGGTAAAGTTTAATAACCACCTACTGTATTATAAAGTCAAGCGTATATATTTTTTTCTTAAGGGTCTAGTAATAACATAACATAAGTGGTTCTGCACTAATGCAAGAATTTTAAGAAATCATACATTTTGAATATTAGAGCTTCACGGAGGTTAGGATTTCGTATGTTTTGTTGTAAACATCCCTTTGTATATTTGAAATAAGTTATTGCATCTTTTGACACCTTAATATTGTAAAAAAATACACTTCACGGTGGATAGGTTTTTAAATAGCAAAGGTTTTGCTTATTAAAAATGATTAAAGCGCCATCCGTTGCATAAAATTTAAAGCAAAAACAGATTCACGGAGGATAGAATCAATTTTCGTAACACCTACATAAATGGTTATAAAATTTATTTCTTTAAATTTTTAATAATATTTTATATTTGATTTGATTGCTTTGGATGTGTTTAATTTACTTAGTGAACTGATATTTTTAGTATGCTTTTACTACCTCAGATATTTAGCAACAAAAATAGAGAGTAGGTATGAATAATAAGATTTAAGGTTAGGATTCGTTTTAATCAAGCATGCATAGAAACTTTTAGTATTGAATAGCATATATTTAATAATATATTGTGAACAAACAGTTTTAACATAATATTTTTTCAAGAAAACTTATTTAACACCAGTCCACTCCAAAAAAGAAACATAATAAATATATGTAGATACGAAGAACCGTGGGTTTATTAACATTGACATTATTACATCTCGCTAAATATACATTACTTGGTGACGTAACAAAAACTAAAATGGATGCTAAAAAACAATCGATTTTACTCTAACAATCGGTACATTACGAAATTCAAAATATGCATAAGAATGTTGATATGTTAGTTTGGGTCGCATATTTGGATAGATATCTCCAGATATCACCCAAAAAAAAAAATCAAATTGTGAAGTTGTTTTTAATGAATTTTCCATATTCCAATCATATCCAATGTATACCATAACTGACTGTGTATAAATAGATGACATTTCAATATTTAGACATTCTTTAAATTCATCCAAGGATTTTTATTAATTTTGATGGTACATTTTAGAATGCTAATGACGCCACATATTTTAGCCTTTAACATAAATAATTCAAACGGAATATCTTGGCGAAAAAAAAATAATTTATAATAATTTTATGCAAAAAAATATGTTTTTTAAACGGCATTATAAATTTTTATGACTTATTTAAATGTTGGATTTTTAAATATTAGCATATTTTGTATTATACACTGAAAAATATAATCTCTTTGACTAAAAAAAAATGGGATTTTAACAAGAAAAAGCTTAGGAACTTTCTAAGGAAGAAAATTTGTCTTGCTGCAAAAATATTCAATATTTAATTATTAGATATGGGACCCACATCAAATTTATATGAGTTTATAATGACATTAAATAAACAAGTTCTGCGCAAGCAGAATTTAAATTGAAGTTTGCGAAAAAAGATAACCGAAACATCGAACATGGAACTGACGACACGGTACTGATGAATGGGAAACAAATTTGGGATTATAATTCGGAATTAATATTTTACCGATATTTTTTATTCGTGGATGCTACTTATCAACAAATCACATATAGCCTTATATAAATTACAATGAAATATATATATATATACGTAAGAAAATAACTACTCACCACAGTACTGACATTTTGACTGGAACTATACGTGCATTCACCACAACTTCGCCGCTCGCATTGTTTTCAAGATGACTGTCGTGCAAAGGGCGGGCTCTGTAGGTAATTTTTTACCAACACTTGAGTTAAAACGAGGACTTGACGTTTAAACTTCAATATTTCGCAGGAATTTTTAATTTTAACATTGGACACAGAACTGACGGGTAAAAGTGAGTACAAAGGTTATCAATTTTTTAAAAATTGCTATTATTCGAATCTATGATAAAATATGATGGTACTGATGTTTTGAATATTTATTATGTTTTTACAAACGTGCTTTTGATTGATGACATCAAGTTGTCCAACTTTTGTGGAATCACCAATATACACATACATATTTTAATTGTCTTCTCGCATTTTGTAAATTTGTGAATTGATTTGGCAATTGATTATCAAGATTAACCATTTAAGATGCTCACACTTACATAAAGAACTTTCACTGTGATACTTATGGCAAAATAATATTTAAATTTTGAATTCTTTTTTTAAATTCATACAGGTATCTATCTTATAGTGGTATTTTAATGTTAGCATAAAGGAATGGTATTTTTTTTTCGATACAAATCTCAGGATGGAATTTGTTAAGCAGCCCAACCATTTTGTAAGACAATGCGAATATTAAATTAAGGATCTTCACGCAAGAATGAATTAACGCAACAATTACAATAACTTTGGTTTATACTGTGGATTAAAAAAACGTGATAATGATACCTTATTTAATTTTATGTTAATTATGTTTATTAGTACTATTGTGGCAATATTTTCAATTGGATTTAAATCGGGACTCCGCGGCGGCCAAGGAAGCGTTGTCACTTAAGTCATGATACGTATTTTTTAACAAGCTGTTTCTCTATCCGGGTTGGTCATGGTAATTAACTTTTTTAATTGTTTGTTGATTTAACCGTGGGATAACCAGAAAATGGGATATAAATATACATAAACAATTAAGTGATTTTAATTATAACACCATTGGTGTTTATATATATGTTTTTTATCTTTAAACTTGTCGATTCTTATTTTGTATGCAATAAAATATTTCTGATGTTAGAAAGCATATTTAATTCAAACTACACATGATTAACAATCTTACATAATAAAATCTCAAATCTAAAATGAATACCAAGTGATGTCAAATGTTGGTATATCTGACAACAGTAACAATCCAAAGGTTGGCCAAGCTTTCTATTATGCGTACCTATTTAACAATATTATTTTTTCATTGCTTACAATAGGAAGTCATTACGTATCAATAGCTTAAGATTTTCTGTGCTCGTCAAAATGTGTGTGGCAATATACAGATATTATCTCAACCATACTTCGATTAATAAATTTGAAACATAAAATTGTTAAAATGTTAATTTTACACCCAAATTTAAATATTTACCGAGAATTTAATTAAAATCACAAGGTTAAAGATGTTTAAAAAAATTATCGAATCCTTATGCAATCTTCTTGACATTTAAGGTGTTAAAAAGTAAATAAATTTGTTGAGGAATTTTGCCACAAGAAATAATCGTAAAATATTACAACTTTAAAATACACTCACAGGCAAAATAATCGATTTTGTTTTTGGTTCACCTTGATATATTTATTGTTGTGGAAAATATGGATTTAAAAAAAAAACATTGCAATTTCCAATATTTTTCCTGTATGAAGAACTAAGGTTGCTATGGTCCATCCATAGCCTATGGAGGATGACAGTGACAGTTTTGTTGAATCATCCCATACTTGGACATGTCATATACAGCTTTCAAAAGCTATCAAATTGTTTTTTGTAAATTAATGTGTTAATTTGAGGTGTCTTCTTACTTTTAAAAGTGTCTCCGACTGATGTTGCCCTTTGTACTTTACTTCTTGTGACGTTTAAAACACTTGCCACGTAATACTGGACCGTCCATCCTGGATTAAATTAATGGCTCTGGCAACATCAGTCGGAGACATATCCATTTTTTAAAGTAAGAAGACACCTCAAAATTTCAACATTAATTTGCAAACAACAATTTGATAGCTTTTGAAAGCCGTGTATGACATGTCCAAGTATGGGATGATTCAACAAAACTGTCACTGTCATTCTCCATAGCCTAGCCTAGCATAAAGAAAAATATTGGAAATTGCAATGTTTTTTTTTTAATCCATATTTTCCACAAAAATAAATATATCGAGGTGAACCAAAAATAAAACTGTTAAGAATAGATGTGACTTGATAAATAAAACTTAATTTAGAACAATATACGGTTTTGCCACTCTACAGAGTGTGTTAAACTTATGGTAAAAAACATTTTTTTGTTTAAACCTGTATATTATAAACGTACGTCTATTTTTTAGTAATTTTTAAAATGTGAGCGATTGTCCATTAATTTATCTACAATATTCCTTAATATTCGTTTAAATCCGACATCAAATAAAAAAGTTATTTGCGATTGAAATTCATCGTGCGCATATCTGTTTATTTTTTGCTTGTATGAATTATATTGTTTTTAGGATTTATTATGAATTTTTAATTTTTTTACAGGTACAGTTCTGCCAAAACAACCAAGTGTGTTGTCGCTTGTCGAGTGCTGGACCAGCCCCTCAAAAAATCAACTTGAACCTTCCTGCATTGGACAATAATTTGAACCAAGTTACAGCTGGAAAGAGTTCTGTCCCAGGTAATTATTCTTTAATATTCTAGTAGCCAAACCTTTTATCAAAATATTTATTTATACCAGAATCCGCAATTAAATTTGGAGGACTCCCTGGGTTCAGTTCTGGTACCATTCAAATTTTAAACGACCAAAATCTAGAACCACAAATCTCCGTGGCTGGAGAATCTGGTCACCATAAAGGTTCGAGTACCATAAAACCTCGCGATGTGTCAGACAGTCTTTTCTCCGCCAGTTCATCAACTCCCGACTACAGCAATGTCGATTTCGGAGATGTTAGGTAACTATTTTGTTTCTGTTCAACATCACATTAGTCATTGACTTCTTTTATCTAGGTTTGCTTCCACCATTCAAGGACCAGCATACCTTCCTCCAGATAGGCCTGATAACACCAACAAAATTACCACCTATGTACCACCACCACGTCCTACTTGTGCCCCAGGTCAAATCCAACTACCATCGGGTGTGTGCGGTTACCCCAGCACACCTAGACCAACTTGTGCACCAGGACAAATTACCCTACCATCTGGAGGTTGCGGTTATCCCAGCACAACAAGACCTACTTGCGCACCAGGGCAAATACAGTTACCCTACGGAGGTTGTGGTTACCCCAGCACACCTAGACCTACTTGCGCACCCGGACAAATTACCCTACCATCTGGAGGTTGTGGTTACCCCAGCACACCTAGACCAACTTGTGCTCCTGGACAAATTACCCTACCAGGGGGAGGTTGTGGTTACCCCACAACACCTAGACCAACATGTGCTCCAGGACAAATCCAAACCCCATCGGGAGGTTGTGTTTACCCCACCACTCCAAGGCCAACTTGTGCTCCAGGACAAATTACCCTACCAGGGGGAGGTTGTGGTTACCCTACAACCCCACGCCCAACTTGCGCACCGGGACAAATCCAAACTCCATCGGGAGGTTGCGTTTACCCCACAACCCCACGCCCTACATGTGCTCCAGGACAAATTACCCTACCAGGAGGAGGTTGTGGTTACCCCACAACCCCACGTCCTACATGCGCACCAGGACAAATTACCCTACCAGGAGGAGGTTGTGGTTACCCCACAACACCTAGACCAACTTGCGCACCAGGACAAATTACCCTCCCAGGTGGAGGTTGTGGTTACCCTACAACACCTAGACCGACCTGTGCACCAGGACAAATTCAATTACCCTACGGAGGTTGCGGTTACCCCTCCACCCCAAGACCAACTTGTGCTCCAGGACAGATTACCCTCCCAGGTGGAGGTTGTGGGTACCCCTCTTCTCCAAGGCCAACGTGCGCTCCAGGACAGATTACCCTACCAGGAGGGGGTTGTGCTTACCCCACCACTCCAAGGCCAACCTGTGCTCCAGGACAGATACAACTGCCTTCTGGAGTTTGCGCCTATCCGACAACTCCAAGACCTAGACCAACTTGTGGACCAGGTATGTCAAGCTTTTAAAACAGTGTTTGTTAATTATTATACATTAGTGACATGGAGTTTCATGAAGTAAAGGTCAAAACAATAAAATGTAACTGTAAAACATTTTATTGTTTAGGACAAGTTCTGAGCCCATCTGGAAGCTGCGTCTACATTTCTACCACGCCACGCCCATGCGGCTTCGGACAGATCCGCAACCCGCAAGGCGTCTGCGAGTACGTCGGCTCTCCATCTACCACGCCGGCCGAATACTTACCTCCAAGACCGTATGTACCATCGTCAACAACACCTAAACCATTAACACCATCTGCACGTCCAATTAGTTGCCCCCAGGGCAGTAGACTAACTGCACAAGGAGAATGCACGCCAGTATCACAAACTTACCTCCCGAAAACATGTCCCGCGGGTCAAATCAAATTACCCTCCGGTGCATGCCAGCAAATCCCCACTGAATCCTGTGGTCCCGGTCAAATTCTAACCCCTTCCGGCACTTGCATATACCCGTCTAGTCCCAAACCGTTTAACACAACCCCCAGACCAATAACCTGCGCCGAGAATCAATATTTAACCCCTTCAGGGCAGTGCGTCTATCGCGAATCGCAGAAGGCTTGCCTTAAAGGTCAATTAGCCACCCCAGATGGACAATGCGTGTACCCCACCACCCCAAAACCGCAAACCCAGCGCCCTGTCTGTCGCCCAGGTCAGGTGCAAACACCCAACGGCCTTTGCGAGTTCCCTCGTCCTTCCATCAACCCGGAATGTGCCCCAGGTCAAATCCGCACCCCTAAAGGTTGCGAGTACATCAGAAAACCCACCCCTGTATGTGCTTCGGGGCAAATTATATTGCCCAACGGGCAATGCGGCTACCCAACCACGCCCAGATGTAACTTCGGTCAAATTGTATTGCCTAACGGCGATTGCGGTATTCCTACAACTTGCTCTGGCGGGCAAATTAAACTTCCCAATGGGCAGTGCGGTTACCCGTCCACACCTACCGAAGCGCCTTATTGCGGTTCGGGACAGGTAAGATTGCCCAATGGACAATGTGGATATCCAACCACACAAAGGCCAGCACCTATTTGCGGAAACGGACAAATACTCTTGCCCAGTGGACGTTGTGGTTATCCACAAACTCCAAGACCCGGTTGCACCAATGGACAAATTTTGTTGCCCAATGGACAATGTGGTTATCCAGCAACGACACAAAGACCAACACAAGTTCCATACTGTGGATCTGGGCAAGTAAGATTGCCTAACGGACAATGTGGATACCCAAGCACACCCAGACCGGGTTGTAGCAATGGACAAATTTTACTGCCCAATGGACAATGTGGTTATCCAGCAACGACTCAAAGACCAACACAAGGTCCATACTGTGGATCTGGGCAAGTAAGATTGCCTAACGGACAGTGTGGATACCCAAGCACAGCAAAACCAGGTTGTAGTAACGGACAAATCTTGTTGCCCAATGGACAATGTGGCTACCCAACTACATTAAGACCAGGTTGTACTAATGGACAAATTTTGTTACCAAATGGACAATGTGGATATCCTGCAACGACTCAAAGACCAACACAAGGTCCATACTGTGGATCTGGACAGGTAAGATTGCCCAATGGACAATGTGGTTACCCAAGCACTCAAAGACCATCTTCTCAATGCGGCCCTGGTCAAATACTACTTCCAAGTGGACTGTGCGGAGATAAACCAAAGACCACTCCAGCTTGCTCTATTGGACAAGTTATTCTTCCAAACGGACAATGTGGATATCCATCCAGACCAAAACCTACTTGCAGCAATGGGCAAGTCTTATTACCAAACGGACAATGCGGAAATGCACCTTACTGCGGTTCTGGTGAAATAAAGTTGCCTAACGGACAGTGTGGACGACCAACAATACCTGATCTAGGTCCGCAATGCGAAGAGGGAGAAATTAGATTACCAAATGGGCAATGCGCCTATCCAACTACACCAACCAGGGGTTGTGGTAGTGGACAAATAAGATTACCCAATGGACAATGCGGCTACCCAAGCACACCAAAACCTGGTTGTAGCAATGGACAAGTTTTATTGCCCAATGGACAGTGTGGATATCCCACAACACCAGGCAGAGGTTGTAGAAACGGGCAAATCTTATTGCCAAATGGACAATGTGGATACCCAAGCACACCCAGACCGGGTTGTAGCAATGGACAAATTTTATTGCCCAATGGACAATGTGGTTATCCAGCAACGACACAAAGACCCACACAAGGTCCATACTGTGGATCTGGGCAAGTAAGATTGCCTAACGGACAGTGTGGATATCCAAGCACACCCAGATCTGGTTGTAGCAATGGACAAGTTTTATTGCCCAATGGACAATGTGGTTACCCAACTACATTAAGACCAGGTTGTACTAATGGACAAATTTTGTTACCAAATGGACAATGTGGATATCCTGCAACGACTCAAAGGCCAACACAAGGTCCCTACTGTGGATCTGGACAAGTAAGATTGCCCAATGGACAATGCGGCTACCCAAGCACACCAAGACCTGGTTGTAGCAATGGGCAAGTTTTATTGCCCAATGGACAATGTGGATATCCTACAACTCCAGGCAGAGGTTGTATAAACGGACAAATCTTATTGCCAAATGGACAATGTGGTTATCCAGCAACGACACAAAGACCAACACAAGGTCCATACTGTGGATCTGGGCAAGTAAGATTGCCTAACGGACAATGCGGATACCCAAGCACAGCAAAACCAGGTTGTAGTAACGGACAAATCTTATTACCAAATGGACAATGTGGATACCCAAGCACACCAAGACCTGGTTGTAGCAATGGACAAGTTTTATTGCCCAATGGACAATGTGGTTACCCAACTACATTAAGACCAGGTTGTACTAATGGACAAATTTTGTTACCAAATGGACAATGTGGATATCCCACAACGACTCAAAGACCAACACAAGGTCCATACTGTGGATCTGGACAGGTAAGATTGCCCAATGGACAATGTGGTTACCCAAGTACACCAAGGCCAGGTTGTAGTAATGGACAAATTGTTTTGCCCAATGGACAATGTGGTTACCCAAGCACTCCAAGACCATCTTCTCAATGCGGCCCTGGTCAAATACTACTTCCTAGTGGACTGTGCGGAGACAAACCAAAGACCACTCCAGCTTGCTCGATTGGACAAGTTATTCTTCCAAACGGACAATGTGGATATCCATCTAGACCAAAACCTACTTGCAGCAATGGGCAAATCTTATTGCCAAACGGACAATGCGGAAATGCTCCTTACTGCGGTTCTGGTGAAATAAAGTTGCCTAACGGACAGTGTGGACGACCAACAATACCTGATCTAGGTCCGCAATGCGAACAGGGAGAAATTAGATTACCAAATGGGCAATGCGCATATCCAACTACACCAACCAGAGGTTGTGGTAGTGGACAAATAAGATTACCCAATGGACAATGCGGCTACCCAAGCACACCAAGACCTGGTTGTAGCAATGGACAAGTTTTATTGCCCAATGGACAATGTGGATATCCTACAACTCCTGGCAGAGGTTGTAGAAACGGGCAAATCTTATTGCCAAATGGACAATGTGGATACCCAAGCTCGCCTAGACCGGGTTGTAGCAATGGACAAATTTTACTGCCCAATGGGCAATGTGGTTATCCAGCAACAACACAAAGACCAACACAAGGTCCATACTGTGGATCTGGACAAGTAAGATTGCCTAACGGACAGTGTGGATATCCAAGCACACCCAGACCTGGTTGTAGCAATGGACAAGTTTTATTGCCCAATGGACAATGTGGTTACCCAACAACATTAAGACCAGGGTGTACTAATGGACAAATTTTGTTACCAAATGGACAATGTGGATATCCCGCAACGACTCAAAGGCCAACACAAGGTCCCTACTGTGGATCTGGACAAGTAAGATTGCCCAATGGACAATGCGGCTACCCAAGCACACCAAGACCTGGTTGTAGCAATGGACAAGTTTTATTGCCCAATGGACAATGTGGATATCCTACAACTCCAGGCAGAGGTTGTATAAACGGACAAATCCTATTGCCAAATGGACAATGTGGTTATCCAGCAACGACACAAAGACCAACACAAGGTCCATACTGTGGATCTGGACAAGTAAGACTGCCTAACGGACAATGTGGATATCCAAGCACAGCAAAACCAGGTTGTAGTAACGGACAAATCTTATTACCAAATGGACAATGTGGATACCCAAGCACACCAAGACCTGGTTGTACTAATGGACAAATTTTGTTACCAAATGGACAATGTGGATATCCCGCAACGACTCAAAGACCAACACAAGGTCCATACTGTGGATCTGGACAGGTAAGATTGCCCAATGGACAATGTGGTTACCCAAGCACTCAAAGACCATCTTCTCAATGCGGCCCTGGTCAAATAGTACTTCCAAGTGGCCTGTGCGGAGACAAACCAAAGACCACTCCAGCTTGCTCGATTGGACAAGTTATTCTTCCAAACGGACAATGTGGATATCCCTCTAGACCAAAACCTACTTGCAGCAATGAGCAAATCTTATTGCCAAACGGTCAATGCGGAAATGCTCCTTACTGCGGTTCTGGTGAAATAAAGTTGCCTAACGGTCAGTGTGGACGACCAACAACACCTGATCTAGGTCCACAATGCGAAGAGGGAGAAATTAGGTTACCAAATGGGCAATGCGCATATCCAACTACACCAACCAGAGGTTGTGGTAGTGGACAAATAAGATTACCCAATGGACAATGCGGCTACCCAAGCACACCAAGACCTGGTTGTAGCAATGGACAAGTTTTATTGCCCAATGGACAGTGTGGATATCCAACAACCCCTGGCAGAGGTTGTAGAAACGGGCAAATCTTATTGCCAAATGGACAATGTGGATACCCAAGCACGCCCAGACCGGGTTGTAGCAATGGACAAATTTTACTGCCCAATGGACAATGTGGTTATCCAGCAACGACGCAAAGACCCACACAAGGTCCATACTGTGGATCTGGACAAGTAAGATTGCCTAACGGACAGTGTGGATATCCAAGCACACCCAGACCTGGTTGTAGCAATGGACAAGTTTTATTGCCCAATGGTCAATGTGGTTACCCAACTACATTAAGACCAGGTTGTACTAATGGACAAATTTTGTTACCAAATGGACAATGTGGATATCCATCAACGACACAAAGACCAACGCAAGGTTCATACTGTGGAGCTGGACAAGTAAGATTGCCCAATGGACAATGTGGTTACCCAAGCACACCAAGACCAGGTTGTAGTAATGGACAAATAGTGTTGCCGAATGGACAATGTGGATATCCAACAACGCAAAGACCAGGTTGCACTAACGGACAAATATTGTTGCCCAACGGACAATGTGGATATCCATCAACGACTCAAAGACCAACGCAAGGTTCATACTGTGGAGCTGGACTAGTAAGATTGCCCAATGGACAATGCGGTTACCCCACGACACAAAGACCAAGTAAAGACTTATGTCCAGCAGGGCAAGTTGTAGGCCCAAGCGGACGTTGTGAGTGCCGCCCTAACGAAGTACTTAAAGGTGGTAGGTGTGTAAGTCAAGGTTATAAATACCCCAAACCCAGCAATCCCCTGTGCGCACCCGGTCAGGTCAAAGGACCTGACGGGGTGAGTTGCATTTACCCCAACAAACCAAGCGCGCAATGTCCACCCGGGGCTTCAAAATCACCGTCCGGCGGTTGTGAATATCCCCTACTCACAAAATCCTGCCGTCCCGGCCAATTACTTACCCCCGAGGGTAATTGCGCATGCCCCCCCGGCACGAAACTATCACCCCAAGACGTATGCGTACCACATGGAGGGGTACAATGTCCTCCAGGTCAAAAACTAACTGCAACCGGATGCCAACCTAACCAACAAAAAGGAACCACGATTCCTAGTTCTAATCAACAGTTTGTTCCCGCTAGACCAAGTACCACCCAAAGACCAGGGTACAGTTACCCCACTCCCACCCCAAGCTTTACATACCCCAGCCCGATTATCCCGGATGGCAACAATGTCGATAACGTGTATGTGCCCAGTCCGACTACCAGTACCACCACCCCGAGAACTGGGGAGAGTATCAAGGATACCAACACCCCCGACCACGAAACTTCGCCGGGAGGAAATGATGGTTTGTTTTTATTGACGAAACGTTTAAAGTACATTCTAAGGTTAATTTTTTTTAGAAATTCGTATTCCAATCCCAGGCCAACCAAGACCGGTAGGACCAAGTGGACCATCTGGCCCACCCCCACCAAGTTGTGCCGCTGCATTGAAATGTGTACAGGAAATATATTGTACAGCTGACGGTTTTGTATCTCCGGTACCGGTTGTTCTTACGAAAGAACAGGAACTGCTTAGAGTACCAACTACTGTAAGTAGAACAAGCATTAGATAATTTAGATTTCTATACTTAAAACTCTCTAGGAATGCTCCAACCAAGAATCAGGCACAATAGGTAAGTGTTGCCGTGACCCCAACTACAAAGACCCATGGCCTTCTGCGAACTTAGTCGATGGTTTCGATGATGGGCAATACAAAGAAGATAATCACTTTGGTGAAGTTGGTAATCTCCAACGCATTGTAAGATCCCAACAAGGCTCAGTACAAAGATTGGTGAGATCGCAGAAAAGCCCTGTGAACGCCAGGTCCATCAACAGCTCACCTGCTGTACCACAGCAGTTAGCAAGATCACAGGAACAGTGTGGGACAAGAAACTACGTTAGTACTACTAATACTTAATAATATTTATTGTTTTTACATTTTGTTGTATTCTAGAACACCAAACCACAAGGCCAACGCCCAATCGACATGAACTTCGCCGAAATCCCATGGCAAGCTATGATTCTGAGAGACACCAACCGCAGCTTGCTCTGCGGAGGTGCCATCATCAGAAGCGATGCTGTTTTGACCGCAGCTCACTGCGTTGAAGGGTACTATAAGTCACAAAATCAAAGAGGAACATATTCTCAACCCTAAACTATCTTTCAGACTCGAAACTTCCGATATTCTAATCAAGGGAGGTGAATGGAAACTTGGCATCGATGAAGAACCTCTCCCCTTCCAAATCGTCAAAGTGGCCGCCATCGTCCGTCATCCAGAGTACGTCCATGGGGCTCTAGTGAACGATCTCGCCGTTTTGGTGCTGGAAGAGAAACTGAGGTTGGCCAAAAACATCGGCCCAATCTGTTTGCCAGAACCCAACCAAATCCCCACTCAAAACTGCATCGCGACAGGATGGGGCAAGAGAATCTTGCAATGTAAGCACTTAGTACTTGGTTTGTGTCTAGCTAAAGGTTTATTTTTCAGTACACGCAAAGAATGCCTTGATGCACGGCATCGACGTCAAAATCATGGATACCAACCAATGTAAGGAGACCTTGGCTGAAAAGTTTAAGGATTCGGTGCAAAATTACAGTCCGAATACTCTCTGTGGATTCTCAAGCATCGATCAATGTAGAGTGAGTATCATGTTTAATAATTACAGTGAACCTTGAATCTGACATATACAAATCTTTATATTTTCTTAAAGTGGATGAAATTATCCAACATTTAATACAAACATTTTTAAAATTGGATAAAAAATAACAAAGCCACAGACTTCCAAAGTTGCTGTTAATTTTAAGAGAACTCAAATTGACACCACTGTATATTTTGTGAATAATCTCGAAAAATTACTATGGGCGTATATAAATATTAACATTTCCTTAAAGTGAATGAAATTATCTAACATTTGATACAAACATTTTTAAAATTGGATAAAAAATAACAAAAATACAGACTGTCAAAGTTGGTGTTAATTTTAAGAGAACTCAAATTGACACGACTGTATATTTTGTGAATAATTTCGAAAAATTACTATGTGGCATATACAAATATTCACATTTTCTTAAAGTGAATGAAATTATCCAACATTTGATACAAACATTTTTAAAATTGGATAAAAAATAACAAAACTACAGACTGTCAAAGTTGGTGTTAATTTTAAGTGAACTCAAATTGACACCACTGTATATTTTGTGGATAATCTCGAAAAATTACTATGTTATATATACAAATATTGACATTTTCTTAAAGAAGGTGAAATTATCCAACATTTAATACAAACATTTTTAAAATTGGATAAAAAATAACAAAACTACAGACTGTCAAAGTTGGTGTTAATTTTGGGAGAACTCAAATTGACACCACTCTATATTTTGTTGATAATCTCAAAAAATTACCATGGGGCATATACAAATATTCACATTTTCTTAAAGTGGATAAAATTATCCAACATTTGATACAAACGTTTTTTAAATTGGGTCAAAAATAACAGAACTACAGACTTCCAAAGTTGATGTTAATTTTAAGAGAACTCAAATTGACACGACTGTATATTTTGTGGATAATCTCGAAAAATTACTATAGGATATATACAAATATTGACATTTTCTTAAAGAGGATGAAATTATCCAACATTTGCTACAAATATTTTTAAAATTAAGTAAAAAATAACAAAACTACAGACTGTCAAAGTTGGTGTTAATTTTAGGAGAACTCAAATTGACACGACTGTATATTTTGAGGATTATCTCAAAAAATTACCATAAGGGCATATAAAATATTTACATTTTCTTAAAGTGGATAAAATTATCTATCATTTAATATAAATATTTTTAAAATTGGGTAAAAAATAACAAAGCTACAGACTTCCAAAGTTGCTGTTAATTATTTGGATAATCTAGAATAATTTTTCCTTAGGTTGACTATGGTAGCGCTTTAGCTTGCGATAACGGTAATGGTCAATACACACTTTCCGGTATTTACTCGTGGGATACTGGGTGTAAACAGGAGGGGCAGATTGGAGGTTATATCGCTCCCGATGTAGAATGGGTAAGGGGGTGTCTCAATAAACCTATCAACGAATTAAAAAGGTTAGATAGTGAATACACATCGAAATCTAGAAATTAATTTTCAAAAATGTGCTTTCTACTAAATTTTTAACTATTTTTATTTTTCACACACAATTTTCTAAATCTGTTATTTATTATAAAAATTATTGTGTCAGTTGTTTTAATATTAAACTGTATATATTTTTAAGTCAAACAAGACAAATCTCAAAATTGTTGTATATATATAATAATTATTATTTTTACCCTTAACTATTATATACCCTGTATATTTTAGTTGACAGTTGTAGTAGTTGTAGTCAACTTTATTTTTTGTATTTTGTAAGAAGTCTAAACTGCCATATGAAGAAATTATTTTTCCTATTCAAAATTTACTATATACAAATGTTCAAACCATTAAACTATGACTGTTTGGTGGTTCGAAATGATAAAAATGAAATATTTATAATGTAATCTTTATATAAAATGAATAAATAATTTTAAAAAAATACGACTTTTATTTATAGCAACATTGGGGTAAATTAAAGACAAATATTTATTACTTTGAATTTATTTTCAATATTTTTTTAATTTACAATATTATTACTATGTTCATTATTAAGTTTATCTACAATATTTATTTATTTAATACTCACTATTAATAGATGGTCATTTCTTTTCTAAAATTAATTATTGTGAAAAAACAAATACTGTCAAATTTATTTATAGTAATTCCTAATAATCCCTATTACAATTTCACTTGTACAAATCATATTTTACAAAAGAAACTACACACCTTACGAAAATTTACACTTTTTTTGTACTTACGGTTAAAATAATATTTGTATTTCGTACCTAGAGAGTAAAGTATGAGCTAAAGGTGTGGCGCCAATTTTTGCAAGGTGTGGGTAAAATTCATCTTCGTTTGGCACTCGTATATCTTTTTTACATAATTTTTTATAATTCATTATTTGAGCATTTTTACATATCTTGCCTTTTTAAGTATAGACAGTCTTTTCTTTAGTAAAGCTTATTCACATTATCAAATACCTAGACTTAATAAAATAAAAAGAGATTTTTTTACAAAATTAATAATTATAAGTGGATAAACTCTGCAAACGTTAGAAAATAAAGAAAAATTATATACTCTGGTATTTTGTTTGCAGAGTCTATTTTAACCTCTTCTTGTTATGCAGCTTTATACAAAAATATTCACTTTTAAGAATCGTTGGTTGTACAAAAATATAAGCAACAAAATTATAGGCAACCCAAAAATTTGGGTTGTCGCGGTATTTTCGTTGCTTAATTTATTTATGTGTCTTGTTGAATGTTAAACGACGCGAAAATAGGTCTGTAAGAACAAAAACAAACGAAGAAAATCATGTATCAGTCATTAGTGTTGTCGACACTCGAACCTTTGGTGAACCTCCTTCTCAAAGGGCGACCTGAAAAGAACGTTAAATATATCCTGGTCACGGCACCAATTTGTAATGAGACAGCATAACCAGCAATTACAGTAACCCCCAAAAGTATGCACAATACTGAAGGTAAGTCAATTTCAAAGTATTATTACTCATCATGTGTGTCCCAGACATTTTTTAGAATATTAAAAAAAACATATATATGGCAACTTTTTTGGCACTCACGCGATCAACAAATGATGTTCGGACGTACACATTACCCAGCTGAATTTATTTATTTAATCAGGAAGAAGATATCGGTTGAAACAGGTGCGGGTAACGCGAATGTAATAATTGCTTGTCCGCTAAGTTACTCAAAAAAATAATAAAAATAAGGTAAGAAAAAATACTATTTTTCATGTTTATGTTTATTTTAGGGCACTAAAGTTCATTGAGAGTAATGAATGACTATAATGTCTTATTATTATTTTTTAAATATGGTTTTACAAAACTTTGTCCACTGCGTTACCGAGTCCATTACGTTACCTTATGGTAACGCAATGGAATTTAGGGTAACGCAATAGAATTTTTCGACAACAAAGTGGATATTTACCGTCGCTTTTATTAAAAGTAGTTTATGATTAACCAATTTAAAATTATTTGTAATTACAACTCATGATATAGATTACATCCAAGGAAAAATTCCGCGCAATATAAAAGTACTAAAAGGGACCTTCACCAGCTTATAGTCAAAGAAAAAGGGTGTCTACAATTTAGAAATCCAAGTTGTTATTCTGCAAGTGAGCACCACTACAAGGGATTTTGTTTATGCATTACTCTAAAATCGTACCACCCTATATAGTTTCTTTTTTACGTTATCTGATTAAGTCCTTTGTGTACCCCTGTCCGTTGTGATACCAATGTCTATTTCGTTACTTTTTTAGTTTTTGTTAAAAAAAATACTTAAAATGATTTTTATACACTATCACTTGGTAGTACGTGTTTATAAATTAGAGTTTAATTCACTAATACAGTGACTAAAAGAAAGTATTAATGGTATTGTTTTTTTAACAAAGAATCGGAATGGTTTCTTTTAAAAAGTAACTTAACGAACACATATTTAAAAAAAGCATACAATTTTTAATAAAAAATAAAATAAAAAATTGGAGTCAAAAGTTTGTGAACTAAGTACATTTGATTTCAAATTATTTTTAAAACACATTTTTCTGAAAAAAACGTCAAAAAATTAAAATGTAAGTAAACAAAACTCTAAACATTTATAAAAATCCAACCAAATGTCAATTTAAGCAAAAAAAATATTTTTCTTACTACCTCGACTCAAAATACGTTGTTTCGTCCCCGATTTCACGGCAGAAAGTTTACGTTTCTTGCATTGGTCAAGCTATACGCGCACACTCTAATAGCGGGAGTAAAAATTTTTTAGTCGTGTGCTTAACATTCAAATTTCGTACTGCCAACATGAGAAACACAAAAATATGACAGTTTTAAACCATAATTTTGCAATTATAACAACAAATAAACAATTTATGTTTTTACTTTTTTACTTTTTATGTTGTTTTAAGTGTTTAATGGTACTTTTATTTGTTATAAAGTAGTAATTTGTTAATTAAAATACAACCTTTTATTTTTACTGTATTGGCACCGCTGAATTACCATGACAACGCTACAGTTTGATTGATTTTGAATGTAAACGTCAGAATTAAATTAAACGTCAGATTTTAATTTTGACACAAGTTTTTTTATATACATTTAATTTTTTTCCGTATTTTCTGCGGGGTAGCAAGAAAAATAGTATACACTACACGGGCAGAAAGTGTGAGAGTCCTGAACTGCGCGCCATGATGCCCTCGGCTTCGCCTCGGGCATCATGGCGCGCAGTGCAGGAATCTCACACTTTCTGCCCTTGTAGTGTAATATACTATTGATCTTCATTTTCTTGAAAGCGGGTGTTTCTTGAAAATGACCCAATAAGTAAATCTTTTTTTTTATTAGCTGTGCGATACCAGCAGATGACATTTTATGATGACAACTTAAGCACTGAATTGCAAAGGTCCTCAAAGTTTTATTTTGAGATTATCACTGCAAAAATTTGGTATTTAATTGTATAGAAGAATTTTAGTCACAAAATGGGTAAGAATTGGTTACCTGTATAAACTTCTTGTTGTGTTGCCACATACTTTTGACGGCCACTGCACATTTTTTTCACTTTATGAATAAAACACTTACCAGTAGAATTGTGATCCAAACTGGCTGATCGTCTTTCCCTCATTTGTGCTGCCAATAACTCGATTTCCCAATTGTTGCTAGTGTTTTCGTATTCGTTTTCAGATTCGTTTTGGTCTGTTTCCGAGTCAGCTTCTCTATTTCTTTCTGCTTGAAAAAAAATGAATTTTTACATACAAATATCTACTTGACTTCACTCGACTTGATAATGTATACAGGGTGTTATGTAATTAATGTTATATATTAAAATGGGTTGTTCCTTAGGGTCCATAAAGAAGCACCTGAAACTTTTTTTTTCTAAATTCCAAAGTCCAAAAATAATTTATAATAACCTTTATCCTACCAAAAAGTACGCCACTGATCGACTAGGAACTTTAGGTTAATCTGGTGGATTTATTATGTTATGGTTGGTAAGAACAGTTTTTCCAAGCATTGTTTAAATTTAGCTTAATTACAAAAATGACAAAATTAACAATGCAAATTGTCAATTTGGCGTTTTTATTAATTGTTGGTTATTTCATTTTTGTACTGAAGGTAAATTCAAACAAAATCTGCCAACTTTTATGACAGAATCTAGTGCATTTCTTTTAAATTTTAGGTTATGTTTTCAAATTGTAAATATCTTAACTAAGGAAAGTGCTTTTGGATTTATTTACACAAATTAAATGTTTAAAGTTTAACCTGTGAACTGGTCCCAATTTCATCTGAGTAAACAGAGAAAAAAACTGATGAAAAAATTAATTTTGTGGTTATGGATTTCAAATTTCAAAGGTACTAAATTTTCTAATCATTGCTTAAGCTAATAGCTGGATCAGTAAATAAATACAGAAGGGTGTTAGAGCTTTAAGGGCATACAACTTTTGTATTTATTGAGTTTTTATTTATTTTTTGCAAGAAAAATTTTTAGTAACAATTTTTTACATCTGGCAACGCATAGCTACTTTGTTGGTTGGTATCTATGTACTCACAAAATACAGGTGTGCAGAGATAAACAAGTGTGTAAGCAGTGGCGTATCACAAAAAATATAAAAAACTTCTAATGCATATTTTTTCTTTATCTTTGGGAAAATGTTTTTTTAAATATTTTTCCTTTATTCCTTATGTCAAAAGGTATTCAGTATTTTAATATATAACATTAATTACATAACACCTTGTATAGTACCGTTAAAGAAGAGATCCTTTTCATCGGTATCAACTTCGTTTTCCGATTCATCTTCCGTGGTAGAGTCGATATCCAGAATAACGTTGTGCGTGATATGACCCTCACTGTCTTGTTGAGAAGATTGCCAAACGTGATGAGGCTGTAATGGATGCTGAGGCAGTTCCTGAATTTCACCCATCTCTTCCTGAGAAGGTTCATCCCAAGACTTATCCTTGGAAATGATGGTATCGTAGGAATCCTGAAAAAACACCTTCCATGTTGCTGTTCCCAAATTAATCAGGTGCACTTACAGTAAAAGAATCGTCGTTATTCCTCTCCAACTCGCTTATATGGGCTTTCAACTGAGAAATTATCTCGTCTTTGTGTCTGCAGTCCTGCTCAAGTTTATCAAACCGTTGCTGGAATTTATCCTGCAAGTCCTGAAAATGCGCCGACATCACCTGCTTTATTGCCAACAGTATATCGGCAAAGTATTGCTGTTCATCGTCCAACGATCCTAAAAGAAATATTAAACAACAACATCCTAAAGAATGGGGTAGTTAAATTTTTTCCGACCTATACTTTTTATGGTTTTATTCAAGGCGTTTTGTAATATTAAACATTTGTGTGAAATCAGAATTTCAATTGAGTTTACCGTTTTCGATATATTTACAAAAAATTTGACGTCACAAACCTCGCCATGTGACCGACATTCTAAGATTTCTATTGGTTGAAAATTACCCTGTTGTCAAGTTGTCTTGTTAATGATTTCATTCGGTTATGTCAGAAAATACCCGAAGAGGTTATGTACAAATACTGTCACTGTAAGTTGAGTGAAAGATGGTCACCAAATTCATTCCTTATTACGAGGTATCATATTACTGTTTGATATTTTAGAGTCCAAGATATATCTAAAAGAATATAAAGAACTAGGCATTATACTAATGAAATGCATTTACGACAAAATATGATTATAAATATAGGTACTTACTTTATTTGTTTAAAAGCTCCAATGTTCAATGTAACCAACCATTCCACAAGATTCTTCTGCTTTGGAGTCCGTTATTAATAAATCACTTATCTAATATCAATTACAAATAACATTGATTTTCAATAATCTAAATTTAAAAAAAAAACACAACCCGAAAAAAAGAAACGTCAAAAAATCAATTCTTCTTCTTCTTCTCAACTAAAATTATAGATCAAGTGGTTTTAAAACTAAAATATTATAACGTGGCGCCATCTATCGTAAGAATCTTAAACTAAACACACTGGCAACCACAGAAAAAGCTGGCAACGTTGTCAATAGCCTAGTGACGTAATTAGGAGATTTTTTTTTGTAAATATCTCAATTGAAATTCCGATTTCACAGAAATGTTTAAAATTACAAAACGCCTCGAATAAAACCATAAAAAGTATAGGTCAGAAAAAATTTAACTACCCCGTTTAACGGGTTAGGTACCTTTTAACAATTTAACTTGGTTATTGGTCTTGTTGGGAAGGTATCTCTCCAGTTCCGCTCTCTTATCCTGATCCCGTATCATCTCAACTGGGGAGTTCACAAAAGGAAACAAACTTTGCGGTGTGCCTTGAGTCATAAGGTTGGCACTATTGGGAGGACTTTGCAGCGTATCTCTGTTGAAAGTCACGCTTTTTGATAGCTTGCTATGACGGGCAGCGTAGCCTTCTATTGTTGGAGCCCTCATCAACCTAGAAGTCAGAAAAAGCAATGTGTTGAGGACAAAAGATGGTTTTCTTAAAGTGCCTCAACTTCTACTAAGTTCCCTCTCTTCTACTAAGCGCCTCAGCTTCTACTAAGAGATGCAGTGCTTATAACAAACAAAATACTTACTTTTTGAACTCAGTGCTGTCTTTCTTCTCTGGCATCACGCTAACGGGGTCTTCTTTAGTATCCTCTGATAACTTTTTCAAGATGGACTTCAGGTTCCGCCTTTCCAGCGTCTCGTTGGACTCGTTGCTCGAATGGAGCGGACTTTGTAGAGGTGCACTCAGGAAATTCTCGTCCTGATGCATAGTGCTGCCCTCTGATTGGCTGCGCGTCAAAGTGTCGTTGTCGAATGAAGCGTTGTCTGGTATGTCGAGGCTGAATGAGCGTGTTTTGATGACCGTTTCCAGCTCTTCCAGTTTTTGACGTTCGTTGAGGATTTTTAGTTTTTTGACGAAGGGTAATGGACCGTACTCCGGAGATAGATCGTCTATGGATCTGCAACATGTTTAAGAGTGTTGGGGTTTCTCGTTTTTGAGTGTTTTGCTACTGGGGTACAATCTAAATTTACCTAATTCTTGGCTACGGTCAGGGTTTAAAATCTGCTTTAACTAATATACTATATTATAATTTCTTTATTACTAGGATACTTTTTAGCATAATATAATTAATTTTCAATAAAAAATACCTAAATCTTTTAATTTTCTCTTTCTGTAATAAAAGCTCTGTATCGGTATTAAAAGAAGACTCATTGCTCTCTGTGAGAGCTTTAGTCTTGGTCTGTGTTCTAAAATAATGTAAAAATAAGTACAAAACAAATTATGACCACTTTAGTACCTTGATAGTCGAAATTTGTCCCTTTTTCTTTGAACCTTCGACACATTACTTAAAAAACATGTCGTTTCGTAAGGAAATTCCTCACTCTTTGAGTTAATCCTCACCCTTCTAGTGGAAACAAAGATATGCAGTTTCAAATGAGGTACAACCTCATGACAATGCCTTACCTGTATTGTTTTGTTTTCCTCGTCAGCACCAAACTAGGTTTAATTTTCCCCACCACCCTGGGTACCTCCCTGGCATCCTCCTCGTCCAGATGTTCTCCAGGTTCGGCAATATCTTTGGAGATTGCCGCCTTTTTCAACTTGCTCCAATGGGCTGCCTTGTCGATGCTCGAGTCACTGGACAGTCTACTGCTTCTATTGCTGTCACTTTTTTCTATAGGTTTCACATTGTCACTAGATTCGTGCAATCTGTCACTATTGTCAACTGTTTCACTTTTACTTTGGTTGCTAGATGATGTAGTGGCTTCTTCGATGTTTGCTGTTGGTTCTCTGTGGATAAAAGAATGTTCAAGTCAACACACTTTGCACACAGTATTCATTTCATAAACCATTTCCAACTTGATAAAGGTAAAACAGTACAAATGTCAAACTTTACTATGTACAAGGGTATGATTGAATTTAATAAGCTACCCCGGAGATACAACAATGTAGTGATATCACAACTTTTAAAAATTGTATTAGATCTCATATATTATCACTATAGTGATAATATATTTTAAATTGTCATAATGTATAGGTATTGTCTTAAGTTTATATGATTTTATTTATTTTCTGTGTTATTTTATGTTTTTCATTTATTTATACTATTATATGTTTTCTGTATAGCATTCTGGCTAATAAAGATATTATTATTATTTAACACTAGCCAAGCTCTGGCAGTGCACATTAGTGTAAATATGCAATCAGGGGGTTTGTGTTGGAAGAATGCGCCAAGCTGTTTAGTTGTGGTTTATGATTATTAACTAAAGGTAAGTCAATTTCAAAGTATTATTACTCATCATGGTTTATAATGTCAAAAATTGCATTTTGTTTTGGTTCATAAGGTCGAAAATCGCGTTTTGTTTATTGTTCAGACAAATTTTAAGTACAGTTCTATCAATAGCTCAGTTTAGGTAAATCGTTTTTTTTTATTTTTAGATGTTTTTCCTGAGAGTAAAACATGTCCATGATGCCAAGTTTAATAAAAATTTAGCCAAAAGCAGTGCGATACCAGCAGATGGCATTTTTTGATGACAACTTTAGCACTGAATTGCAAAGAGGACCTTCAAAGTTTTATTTTGAGATTATCACTGCAAAAATTTGGTGTATAATTATATAGAAGAATATCCCGATTCGATAGATATTTTAGTCACAAAATGGGAGGAGTTGGTTACCTGTATAAAATTACGAGATTTTAAGCTTGCTTTACAAAGAGCCATACAATTTACTCCAATCTAACAGTGTTAATGGGTACTTTGTGCCAAAATATTATTTGGTGTTTTGAACGTATAAAGTAATTGCCAAATATATAATAACTCTAATAAAGTGGACCTGGTCAAGTTATACTAGTGTTCTCTAGTGAAGCATTATGTGAAGCTTTTTTACTGCGTAGTAAGCAAGAAAACTTACCTTGCGATTCGGGTATCGTCCAGCAATAATCGTGTGGGTTCGGTCGCGTTCGTAACCAGCGCTGGTGAAAGTTGATTGGACGGTTCGACTATCACTTGTTTTAGTTCGGTTTCTAAGGATCCGGAATCAATTGTGTCCTTGAGAAGCGAGTCTTTTTCCGGTTGCCTGGTCGGTATACCAGTGGCCAGTTTCAGACGTTCCCTCAACGATATTTTATTATTTATTAACTTCGCAGGCATCTGGATTTTGGTGGTTGATATAATTGCCGCCTTTGATGTAGGACTAGTGGGCTGTGGTTGCGTTGTAGAGGGGGGTGGAGCTGATCTTACGTTAATTTGACTGAAAACAACATTGCAACCGTTTTAATTGGCGCCCGAGCTGGGACCATTGCATTAAAAGTATGTACCTATTAATTAATTGACAGGAACTCTTCACCATCATTCCCCCCACTCCAGTTTTAGCCGCCTTGGCTGCTTTTTCTTCCTTCGCTTTCAACATCAATATCCTTTGTAGAAGCGGCAACCCCGCACCAAGAGGCTCGCTGGGTTCTTCCTGTATTGAGGGTGGACTTTTGATGGTCGGTGATATAATCGGAGATGCGTGTTTCGATCTGTCTTCATTCTCCTGTTTTTCTTTAAGAAGCCTTAAAACAATAAACGATAAGAACTAGAGAAAAAAAGACTGGAGAGAATCTAGAACCTTAGTCGTTGTAACAACGGCAACCCAGCACCGAGCGGTGACGTCATAACCTCGGGTTTTTCCTCTTTTTTCTCGATTTCTTCCTGTGATAAATCGTGCGATTTGACTCGTGACATCCTTTTCAAAGTTCCTTTGGTGTTATTGCTACTTGAGTGAAGAGGTTGTAGTTCTAAGGATTCTTGACTCGTTCTACGATGCGTTTTTGTTTTTTTAAGCACGTTTCTCAGACCCTTGGCTTCACTTTTGATCTTATCAACCAACCCTTTGTCGTGACCATGACCGTGGTGACCATGCTTTTCATGGTGGGCATGTTGCCTAGCGCTGGCTTTCACTTCCATCAATCTTTTCCTACCCAAAGCCTGCAGAATTTCCTGGGCCTCAGGGTAATCCTTCATTGCGTTGAGGACATCTTCCCGTGATAGGGAAAACAGCTCTGAGTAACCAACCGATCTTACATCTGCAGTCCGTCTGAAAAATTATCATTATCATTATCATTTAAACTACCGTACCTTCATTTGCAAGCTATACATAGGGAAAATACATTGTAGGTGGACCAGACAAGTTGAAGTCAGCGCAAAGCGAAAAAGTTCTTAGAAATTATTTGGACGTAATAAAATTTTAATCGCCAGTAAACAAGGTCACCTGTTACGTCTTGTCTGGACCACCTACAATGTATTTTCCCTATGTATAGCTTGCAAATGAAGGTACGGTATATATTAACGTCTTACTTATTTAACCCATCCAGGTTTAGAATGCCGATTTCCCCGAAAAAATCCCCAGCTTTCATGGTAGTCAGCACTTTACCGTGTTCACTCAAAACTTCCAAAATGCCATCAGCAATTATAAACATCTCTCTGGCCACCTCACCTTTACGGCAAATCGAGTCGCCTGGTGTGAAAATGTACGCCTTCATTTTTAGCACCAAGTCCCTTAGAAACTCCGGTTGACATTCTTGAAATATGGTGACCTTGAAATGTCAATGAATACCAAAACGTCATAATTTAGTGTTTTTATTTACCTTCTTGAGTACTGTTAAATTGACGTGTAAGGCCAGTTCAGTTTTCAGTTTGTCGGGTAACAAACCCAAGGCTGTGTTGATGTCACCACCACCCTGTATACGCCCTCTAGACCAACTGTAGTCATACCACCTGAGCACTCTTCTTTTCATGCCTCCTGGAACCTAAAAATAAAACACAAAAGTCTAATATCTACCCGGGCTCTTATGAATATTAACACTTCGTGAGAAGCTTTTATTACACATTTTAACACGATTTTCCTTCCATGAAAAAATTTATATTTATATATATTTATATAAAATCATTACTACTATTTTAACCTAGGTAGGTATACAGGTTTTTAATTCTCTATTTTGTTATAAATCATTTTTTTTCTTTAAATATTGTATGTGTTTACATAACACAAAAAGGCACTTCTTGGCCGGATGGCATACACCATTTTAACTTCAAAGCACTTTATATAGGTCAATTTAATTCAACACCAAAGCGGCCTAACCTCACTTTTTTAGAATCTCATTTATTTATTAGCTAAAGATTACATTAAATGTACAATAGTTATTATTGTTTTTAGAAGCAGTAATAGTTTGACAATACATGATTTAAGTAGAAATGGATTTTTGCTATTACATTGAATTCAATTAATTGTTTAATAAATAGGTAGGTATCTAATTTCAATTGGTTTGGATTTTTATTTAAAAAATAGGTAGTTTGGAATGTTTAAGCTGTGTTTAACATTTAATTTCACTAAAAACTTAAAAATAATTAAAACTTAAAGATAATTTAAATCGTAGAAAAAGAATCGTGCGTTTTCTTGGTTGCCTAACCTCACTTTTTGTTTTATTATTAATATTTAATTTTACAATAATTTAATGAAAAATATTAAACATTAACAGTAAAACAAACAAATTAGTGCTTATTATAAATAAATTAAACCAGTTTAGTACGTTAATTTCTTAGAAAAGGATTAATTTGTCAAAACAATACCCCTAGCGAGAAAAAATCGAACTAATTACTTGCCTCATACAAATTTTTATCGGCCTAGGCCATAACAAGGTATTTCTTTATCGAATGTTGACAACAATGTAATATTTTTGTATTATGTAAAAACATAAAATATTTAAAGAAAAAAATTTTTCTTCATTCTTCATTTTATATATGCATATGTATATATATTTTTTTTTATTAAATTTTTTTTTGTTTAAAAAATTTTTTTTTTTTGTTAAATTGTTTTTTTAAATTATTATTTTCTTTAAGTATTATTTTTGTATTATGTAAAAACATAAGAATGGCTGTAAAAAAATCTGTTAAATTTTTTCATGGGAGGAAAATCCTGAGCTACCCGGGCTGTTGTTAGAATTTTGACTTTTAACACTCCGTCACCAGCTTTCATTATTATTATTTTTTTAAACTCACTTTGTGATGTCTCATATACGTTTTAGCACCATCCAAAAGTCGCTCAAACTCTAACCTATTCGCATTTCGATTTGTTATCACATTACCCACTTGACCTAGACAAAAAAAGTATACAAAATTATGTTGATTTATAAAAATTTATAAAAAATTACAACTTACCTACTATAGTTGCAAAAATAAATACACCAATCAGGTAACTAACAATTGTGAACACATATCTAAAAAAAATTGTTGGTATTTTTATGGAACAAAAGTTATATTTATGAACAGAATAAATTAGCATTTATTTACATTGGCAGTGGCTTATCTGTTCAAAAATATAATTTATTTATTTACTATGCTATACAAAGTGTTTTGCAGTCTCCGATCATGCCTCTGCCAATGTAAATTGGATGAATATTTTTTTTTTTACATAAAAATTTACCCAAAGTTTGTGTTGAACTGGAGGAGTCTTGATTTAACTCCACGGCGCGGCAATGATCGAGGACCATCAACACTATTTGTTTTCCTAAAATTAAATTTTTCATTTTCAAGTTCACTAAGTCCATACCACCTAGTTTTACTTACTCGGCATTTGTTTCAGGGGTTGGAAGATCGCCAATAGTGGTGAGAGTCAGGGTTGACCAGTACAAAGATCCCAAGTATTTTCTCGTCAAAGTGGCATAGTCCCCTGGCCTGTAGGGGTAGACCCAGTCACCCTAAAAGCAACACCAGTAGATATCAGCAGAACTCAAAACATGTACTCACCTGAAAACCTTCAGCTTCCGATAATAAAAAATAGAAGCACCCGAACCAGTGGGCCAAAATCAAAAGTATATGTATTAGGTTGACGACTCGCCATAGATTCGGCCAAATCGTTCTAGACTCGACCATGTAGTAGTAGTTAACAGCTCTGTACACCTGAAGAAGAAAACTTACTAGAAAAAGGGACACACTACAATCACAAGTTACCCACCTTTAAAAACCTAGGGCATCTAAGTAAGGGTTGACTGCCGAACCTAAACTGTAACAAATCGAGAGGACATAAGGCTGCTAGATCCAAAAGAAAGGCACGCGAACGGAGATAATGACAGGCCAGTTTCTTGCTGTCATACACCATGAGGCCCTGCTCTAAGTGGCCAGTACGTAGCTGCACCACCACATCCAGGAGAAAAACCAAGTCGCTGATAGAATCGCAGCTTATCCAGAACGTCGAGATCATGTTCTGAAAAAACCTATTTAAGAACAGTCCCCTGGCTTATGGAATTCACCAATGATCACCTGTAGCTCTGGAAAGCTCTGCCTAACGATCAGAGTCCACATGTTGTACAGAACGCCACCTGTGATCACAAGCAGCCAGTAGAAGTAAAAATTCGAGTCTGGATTGACCACAGACTTCGGCTGTTTCCGCAGGCGCCTGCGCCTCCGCGGGGCTGATTGGCTGTCGCCTGGTTGACCCTCACTCCCGGTGTCTTCTACTGTTTCCTGCGTTTCTGGTATCTGTCGACTGGAAAAGCGCTTCAGAAAGGAGTCTTCTCGTTTTAACGGAGGTTTCTGGAAATAAAGGTGAGAGTTGGGTTTTTGTTATTAATTGCATCCCAGTCAGCATCCTATTCAGAAAGACTTCAGTATGACGTCTTTTTATGAGCTCAGAATTCTGAGCTGTTAATGAACTCTTTACGTACAAATGAAGATCTTTTCTTGACCTCTTTTTGAACAATTTATTTTGAGCTTACAGAGTATTCTTTTTTCTTACTTCCAATTGAAATCATACTATTAACTCTTTTAGAAGTCAACATGGAGACGTCACATTTATGACATTTTAATGCGATTACTTTCTTCTCACCGCTGTAACTGCTTGTGTTTGATATAAGAAGCGGCAAAGTAGAATTTAGAGCGCGCTCCATACCAAACGGTCTTAGACCTAGGTAAACGGCTACCCGATACTGACGAGCTCCAAAAGAGCGAAACAGGCCACCTATGGTGCCGGTGAAGAGCACGCTTGAATTTAAACAAAAGTGACGTCCAAATCATAAAATAGAGCTTATGCAGACTTAATTAAGACGTCATATTGCTGTCTGGGATGGTTTCTACAAAATGATGTATACTCTCTTAAAATGAAATTAGTTATTTTTGACTAATTCATTTTAAGAGAGTATACAATAATTTAAATTTTTTTTTCTAAAAACTGTTTTAAATACTTTTTTCTAGCGAAATACAAATCTACGATGTACTTTTATTTCATCTAAATATTTAACTATTGATGATATTATTAATTAATATTTAACTATTAAGGTCCTGTAAGGTAATGTATTCTTGTAATATTAATATTACTTTACAGTTTAATTTTAAAAAATATACTAATATTTTTTAGTATAAGGTATTAGGGTGAATTTATAAATTGAGATGTCCCCCAAGCGTTAAGTTATTTTTGGTTATTAAAATATTTATAAAAAAATCTACTTACTGAGATATTACACTTCACGGTGGATAGGTTTTTAAATAGCAAATTAATGAACTTAAACTTTTGAATTATAAAACAGCAGCATATAAATTCTAACTGACGTAAACAGAGGTTTTTGCTTATTTAAAATGATTAAACGCCATCCGTTGCATAAAATTTAAAGCAAAAACAGATTCACGGAGGATAGAATCAATTTTTGTAACACCTACATAAATGGTTATAAAAATTATTTCTTTTAATTTTTAATAATGTTTTATATTTGATTCGATTGCTTTGTATGTGTTTAATTTACTTTATTTGAAAACCTATAGGTTAACCTAGAAAGATTAACAGTCACGGAGGATAGGTTTTAGACTTTGGGGGACATTTCGTGAGATTCACTTTTACTAAAGGTTTTTTAGTTGACTTACTAAAAAATTTTCCCTGCGCTTCTGTAAAACAAATTTCCATAAAACTCATTTAAATAATGTTTTTTTTAAATAAAGTTTGTTAAGCTTCACTTTGTTAAACCAAAACTAAGCTATCATTAAAATTTTCATCTGAAGAACTTTTGATTAAAAAGTTGCAACAGTATAAATTGGACTGATTTTTTTTGTAGAAAAAAATTAATGTTTTGGTTAGCATTTAATTTAAAATATGTTTATACTGGGTACTATTTTATACCCACCTGAGTATCCAGAATAAGCTTTAGTCATAAAAAAGGTTAAATTAAAAATTAATTTTGATTTAAAATATAATCAATGCCCACGTTTTAAACGAAAATCAATAAATTATTTTTTTTGTTAAATTTAAACTTTTGTCTTGTACTCGCAATTATCATTATAGCTGAAAAGTGTAGTGGTCGGCGGAAACTTACTTTTTGTATTGCTGATGATATCTGCACTGTTGTCCGTAACTTCATCCATCTTTGATTGGACTTTGTTCTGAAACAGAAAATTACATGAAAAAATTCCACAATTATTAAAATAATATAAACACGTATTACAGATACATATAAACTTTCCAATGCAATTTTTCAAAAAGTCAAAACTCCAATACAGTCATAGAAATTACCAATACGTATTAAACACCCAGTATATGCTGAAAGGTACACATTCATTTTTACAACAATCAGAGGATAAAAATAAAATAAAAAGACAGAAACAGTTTTTCTATATTTTTTATCCTAAAAAAGTAAGCTTTAGATACATGTTCTATAGAATACCAACTAACAATAATAAGTATAAGAAACCAGAATCTTTTGAGTTTTTTAATAATATTGGATTGGTACCACTTTTTTAACTTAAAGAATCTGATTTCAAAAAATATAAATTTTTACAAACTAATAAGAGAAAAACTATTAAGACTAGATTTTTAAAGAATATAAGTACATATATATATATAAGATTCTAAATATACAAGACCTATGATTTGTGAATTTGGCTTTTCAGGAAGATATTTTAGTTGATAATTTTTTTTATGAAAGACTAAGTTTGTAGACCATGCAAAAACCAACCATGTCACATACAATGTTACAGAATATTTATTATTTTAAAGTTTACACAGTAAAAAATTTTGCCCGTGTGAATTTTTTAGTGTAGGGGTAAAAATATTAGAGTTGATTTGTAAGTGTAAAAGTTACACTACAAAATACACTAGGTAGCATACTTATTAACTTTATTAAACACATTTAAAGAATATGAACATTATTCATTGGTATTTTCACACTATTTATTATTAAAATAAATCAAAAGGGTAGAAGAACTTAATGCGAGTGTTTATTACCCCTTAATGTGTTAAATAGTGACAAAATGTACACTACAGTGCATGCCAATTTCTTTGTCTTTTTGATGTTACTAAGAGCTCTTTTTTCTTTACACTACTAGTGCACATTGTATCAGAATAGACTGAAAAAACTGGTAATAATCGAAATGCGTTTTAAAATATTTGGTTGGTACCTATCTACCTACGCAGTGCATATCCGGAGATATCGCGTTGTGGAAGTGTGGCATTTTTGTTCAGTTAGATTTTAATTACGGTGAATCCATAAGGGGACATTCTTATTTTATGGTAAGTATTATACTTCCTTTTTCCTTAAGCCTTAATACTAAAAAAATACCAATATGTTAAAAGGATGTCCATACCCGACCTATATTATATCAATAATTTGCGGCAGTAGGTCGGGTACCTACTTGTAACATTTATAATATAAATACATACACACTTGATTTACTTTTTATTTTTAAGCGTAATGGTTGTTATATTAACCTATACCTACATTTTTATTAATATTATGGAAAATTTGTAGACGTGTGGTAAATCCCCGACATACAGCCGCCTGACGCCTCTCTACTAATGGGATCACCCATTTATTATAACAGAAAAATGAATTACTGATGAATTCTTAAGATAATTCATTGCTTACAAGTTGACAGCCAGTAAAACATTGCATTGATCTAAAACTTTTACGTTTTAAGGAACCATTTTGCTTAAGCCAGCCATACGACTCAAATATAAAATTATATTTTAAAAGGCACCGATTTTGATAATTGTCATAGAGTTTTGTTCCAAATAAATGTTTCTCTTTATTTACCTTTTTGTTTTATTCACTACCACCAATAGGTTTTACTCAAATAATAGTGTTAATTTACACTAGAAGTTTGCACTAAAAGAGTAAAAGTACCTTTCTAAAATTAGAACTTTTAGAAAGTAGTGTTAATTTACACTGAACAAAAGTGGGATTTTACCCAGGAAGTGTAGAAGTAAACGATTTTAGGTAAATTAACACTTTAATACAGTGTACAATTATTTTATCCTCAGTGCTATAGTGTTAAATCATACTTGCTTACTTGGGGAAAATTACACTACAAATTAACTCTAATTGTAGTGTTATAAAACAACACTATTTAGTGTGGACCTGTGTGAACTCTAATTAGTGTTGCTTAGAGTTGATTTTTTTTACTGTGTACCTACTAATTTTGTATAAATGTATAAGACATTTTACAACAATGATAAAATACGTCACTAGATATACAGGATGTCTTGGCAAACGCTATTTTTAAACTATATACTAGTTTTATTAATGTATCTTGTAAAGACACCCTGTATATATTATAATAAATGTTAAAAAAGAATAAAGTTAAAGGAAGTCACTACTTTTATTAAAAATATGATAGTAAGTAAGATAGTATATAATTTAAGCATATTTTATAATAGTACTAAATTTAAACCCTCCACACAGTAAAAAAATATTTTACTGTAGTGTTCCACATCAATCTATCTTTACACTTAAATATTCATTTAACACTTTAACACAACAATTTGTGTTGGAAGAATGCACCAAGCTGTTTAGTTGTGGTCTATAATTATAAACTAAGGGTAAGTTTAATGTATATAATAAGTAAATCGTTTTTTTTTTAATTTTATATATATATTTATTATTATGAATCTTTTTTTACTGTGTAACATTAAACAAAATATGCTTAAAACATTCATTATAAAGTTGAAAAGTTAAGATATTAGATTGGAAAATACAGAACTAACACAACTGTACCAGATGTCATATACCATACATAATATCATATCAAGAAAAAATAGTGGGTTAATAATAATAATATACAAAAAAAACATAAACGTTCGTCTATTGGTCCTTGCAAACACCTCTTGATTTTCCTCAGGGAGTGGTAGTAGGCCATGACGGCTCTTAAATTTTTCCAGCTTTGAGATGCCCTTGGAGTATCAGGGCCGTCTTTGTCGTCATCGGAATTTCTAGAGTTTTTTCTGAAAATAGCCAAAGTTTTGGGGTGTTGTGAAAAGTGTTTGGTTTTCTTTGAAAGACCCTGTATAATGTATTAGGGTGGTTAGAGAAAGTTATATCCCCTAGTAATAAATATGGGTGATTCTACAAAAGTTGGAAAACTTGATGTCATCAGTCAATAGAGTAGGTATAAACAATGCAAGCGGCGAAGTTGTGGTGAATGCACGTATAGTTCCAGTCAAAATTATATATATATATATATATATATTGCATTGTAATTTATATAAGACTATATGTGATTTGTGGATAAGTAGCATCCACTAATAAAAAATATCAGTAAAATACTTAATTCCGAATTATAATCTCAAATTTGTATCCCATTCGATGTTTCGGTTATCTTTTTTTCGCAAACTTCAATTTAAATTCTGCTTGCGCAGAACTTGTTTATTTAATGTCATTATAAACTCATATAAATTTGGTGTGGGTCCCATATCTAATAATTGAGATATCGGTATACCCAAAATCCACCAGCCGCCACTGATGTGTGGTATTATTTGATTTTAAGATATTTAATGTATATTATGCTCAAAGTTGCAATAAATCTTATATTTTCCAATAAATTATGTATTTACTTAGTACCCTGGTATACTCGTCACTTCCCTTGCATTCAAATTTAGAAAACACAGATATTTCGGAAACTGTTTGAAAAAGTGACTGGCCCGGTCTGGAACAGTATGTTTATTATATTATCTATGTTCTCATAACAAAATACTGTTTAATTTTCTCCGAAAACTATATAAACAAAATGCGGTCAAAAGTTGTAGAATCACCCATATATAAAAACTAAAATAAAACTTGCAAAATTGGTGGATGCACAGGGATTAATTAAAAAAATATAAAAACTTATTTAAAACGAGTCCCAGCCAGTTCAACGACATTGTATGTTCCTTAAACACTAAATAGGACGATTAGGTGCTTATATAATACAGAATATTTGCATCGCAGAAGCCTTAGAGTTTGAAGGAGCTAGTCTACGTCTCATATCATCTGCATCATCAATAAAAACTCAAGTCAGATTTCCATACATAAATCATCAAGATTTATGAGGAAAACGGATAAAATTTGCATTATAAGTCTTATGTTGAGAGATTTTTAGTTTCTTGACCTTTTTGGGGGGGTCTCGACAAAAATTTTGTAATAATTTAACATACAAAAATATACTTTAGCATAATTAAAATAATGTAAGTTTGGACAGCAAAATTAATAAGAAAAAAGTTTTATATTACACAGAAACCTGAAATATCAATTTCAGCTCCAAATATATACATTATGTAAATATAAAGTAAATGCATTTTATACAGAACGTTCAATTAAAAACTAGGGTGGCTACACTGTTATAAAGGTAAAGATGGAGCTAAGCTAAACCAAAAGTTCCCGAGAAATGGATTGGTAGAAGAGATGGTCAAGAATGGCCGGCAAATCTCCAGATTTAACACCAGTTGATTTTTTTTTGGTCATCAATTTTCCTGATTCAAAAACTTAACAAACGTTTCAAAAAGTTTGACACGTTTTTTATTGAAAGCATACTTTAATCCATTTTAATTAACTCAATGTTTACACTTATATACAACATCCGGATTATAGCGAAGGCTTAAAATCTTATGTGGTTGACGAATTTTGTTACAGCCAGTTTTGTATGTAAATTTTTTAAACAAACACAAGGCTTTATATTTAAAATATAAGTTTAGATAAAATTTAGTATTTAATGCTGTACCATTGCCCACACAAAACCGTATTGATCCACTTTGGGATAGTCTAAAATAATAATAATTAATTTGGTTGTTAAACAGAGTTTGGGGAAAGATTGATGTCCCTTTTTGCTAGTATAACATGATAACCAACTAACGAGGTTTAGTAACAGATTGCCCGTGATAAAATATGAGGGAACTTATATCAAGTTTTAGATTAATTTTGTTTAAAGAACAATTCATTTGTTTTCAACCCTGATAGCACACCTTATTCTAAAAATGTTTTTAAACCTTCCAGTGAGAATATTCTTAGGATCATGCTATATTTCTTCTAAAGAACATGCTTAAAAGACATATAGCATGATCCTAAGAATATTCTTACTGGCCTATAGGCAAGTTCTTAGAAGGTGCAAAGTTTTAGTAGTAAAAATTAGTCTACTCTAAACATATACTTAAAATGTTAAGAAAGTAATTGCTATAGAAAGTTCATTTAGTCCAGTTAAGCATATTTAGTTAATAGTAAAATATACCATAAACTACGTATAACGGTATATACCTATACTTAAGTACCTAATTAGTAATTAGTATTAAATACTAAGTAAAAAACCCAATCCAAAATATTTTTTATAGTTATTTGTCAAATTAAAACAATATTCGATAACAAAAATACTTTTACTATAGGTATTTTATTTAATGTTAAAAATAAATATTTATTAATTTGTATACCGATTTTTTATTTCTGAATTAACATTTTTATGTATAATAATCCAAACTATCTTCAACTTCAATCTAATCTGACTTATCCCACATAATTTTCCAATTTTACGACAAATACATTTCACTGTCATATTATGACAGTGAGGCGTATTTGTCGTCTCCTGAAGATTTTTACGAATGTAGAATACAACATATTAGAACGTGGGTGTCTGTTATATTTGGAAATATTCTCAAAAGCTTCCTAGATGCTCCATAGAAACCTTCTAATAACATTCCAAAAACGTATTCTCAAAATGTTCTTAGGATGCTTTTTAGGAAGGTTTTAAGAAGCTTTTAAGAATCTAAAGAAGCTTCTAAGAATATTTCATTATTCCGGGTCACATCTTCTTAGAAGATTCTTAAAATCAAATTTTGCTATCAGGGAAACTGATTGTTTGTTTTCCAAGAAATCATACCCAGTATCCTGAAAAAATTAATGTCTGGAAGATTGCATTATTGGTTTCCTATTGAATGATCCAAGTATACAAATAATTGAACTAGAAAATCAAAGAACTAATGATGAACCAGCTTTGGATGAACATTCAAGAAGATGAGTCACCACCTCATGATGTATTAGCTGATAAGGCTTAGCTGAATCAGTATTATCCAGAACATTGGATTGGCAGAAGATGACCAATAGAATGGCCTCCTAGATATCCATATCTAGCACCATTGGACTTTTTCTTATGTGGTATTTTAAAATCTGTGCAATACTAAACTCAGCTTCATTTTACTAAAGGTCTGAGACAACAAAACGTTTCAAATGTTCAAACTATTGATTACAAAATTACGTTGCAATTTGGCTATAGAGCTCGTGCTTCGTTATGAAATAGGAACAAAAAGCGTTTTTAGATAAATTAAGGTGTAAAGGCATCCCAAAGGAATTTTACGTATTACGGTGCTAATGTAATTTATGGCGGGTCTATTTCGTGGGAACTTCGCGTATATCATTGTTAGGAAAGTTTTATTTTTATAATGTTGAATGCAAAAAGGATTAATTGTGCCTACATTCATTACTTAAATAAGCTATATAACTTGAAACTTGAAACATGACCAATAAAGTAACAAATCAGATCCAAATACTAAAAAACATTTGCTTCAGCTATGAGTGTACTTTTTATCAAAATGGAAATGTTAACAAAGAAAATTGTCGCCATTGGAACAATGAAAATCTTCATCTCATCAGAATTATCCAGAACACTGGATGATTAGATGAAGACCAATAGAATGGCCTCCCATATCACCAGATCTGACCCATTGGACTTTTTCTCAAGGAGTCACTTAAAATCTGCGGTCTGCATTATTCTATTGAGTTGTATGAAATTATTTCAAAAATTCTTAATTAAAAAGCTCTTCTGGATAAAATCTTTTACTAATACGAGTTCAGGGGACGATGTAATTGCTTGTTTGATCTGATGATAACAATTATATGCCCACAGGAATCTCACGACCTATTGATTGCAGCTATGTCGACATTAAATCGAAGCAACCCAATTTTCTCATATAACCCCCACCCCTCCTTCATCCCTACACCCTATTGCAATTATTATTAAGTCGTAAAGGTCAGCAATTTTGATTTGCTGGCTTCCATTTCAAATTGCATCACAGTGGGACAGACACGTTATCAAAGTCACCTTTGATGACAACACAAATGGGTGATAAACCTATCCTCCGTGACTGTTACTCTTTCTAGGCTAACCTATATGTTTTCAAATATCTGAGGTAGTAAAAGCATACTAAAAATATCACAATTTTTATAACCATTTATGTAGGTGTTACAAAAATTGATTCTATCCTCCGTGAATCTATTTTTTCTTTAAATTTTAACGGATGGCCTTTAATCATTTTAAATAAGCAAAAACCTCTGTTTACGACATTATAGATGCATGTGATTCCTGAAGGTCAGTTAGAATTTATATGCAGATGAGAATGTTGCTGTTTTATAAATCAAAAGTTTAAGTTCATTAATTTGCTATTTAAAAACCTATCCTCCGTGAAGTTTAATATCTCAGTAAGTAGATTTTTTTATAAATATTTGATGTATGTTTTAAAAAATATTAAGGGGTCAAAAGATACAATAACTTATTTCAAATATTCAAAGGGATGTTTAAAAAAAAACATACGAAATCCTAACCTTCGTGAAGCGGAAAAAGATTTGAATAGATTTTTCTCTAAACATTCGGGATGGGGTCACTGTGCATCTAATAGAAAAACTAACAATTTCAGAAAATTAAATTTGTGGGTCGTAAAATTGGGTTGCATGCCTGAACGATATTTATTAAAATAACGACGAAATATAGGTTTAAAATTGAAAATAAATAAAAAGGAAATACATTTCAATTTTAAATAGGAATTCCAGAATTTCCTTGGTTTTATTCATTTCTCAAATAAGTATGATTTTTTATTTGTCTGGCAATTTTTAAAGAATTCATTATTTTTACTTTTAATTTACAAATTGTTTCGTATAAATCAACCACTTTTATAGATTGTATCAGAAATGTACCTACGTTGAATTTACAGATTGATGGTCTTACTAATATGTCTGTATTACCACTAATTTTAATGTTAAAATATTAATTTAAACATAATTTATATAAATGAATAAACTAAATAATAATTATAGACAGTGTCAGCAAGTTAGAAATTATAACCTCCTTTAATTTTATATTTTGATCCACAACCATTTTACTCAGAATTTTATGTAGAATTCGAAAATAACAAAGTTAGAGACATTTCCGGTAAAACAGGAAGTATTATTTTGTTCAAAATAATTTAGGAAAAAAGTCTAAATCGAATGATTTACGCTATTAAAATTTTAAATCGATGTCTTTCGCGATTCCCTAGAAAATTTGGCATTTACGGCTTTTCAGGTTATGTATCTGTCAAAGTATAGTCAATGAAAGAAATAATATTTATAGTGTTACCGCTTATGTTTAAGCGTTAAAAGTTAATAAATCTTTATAGTATCGCAATAACAATGGTTGGTTTAAGAATTTAGGAATATTAATACTGCATTTAATGAAATTTCAAAGTCTAAGGTGCAATATAAGTGAGCATTGGGTCTACATTTCTCCATAAAATAGTTTTAACTAAACAGCATTTATTAAAAAAAATCTAAAATAAGAATATCTGTATTAGAACAAAAAATATCATCTAATTTTGTATTTTAAGGTTAGAAAAATCTATTTTGACCAAAATAAATAAGTGGGTTATTTGAAAGAGTGTGTTAATATGGTCATAAATAAATATAGGTATACTAAATAATTGTTGAATATAGTTCAAATTAAATTGAAGCTTTTATACTTCTAACGACAAAACTTGTGCATACCTCTCGGCATACCTACTTTAAGTTAGATTATAAGAAAACAAACAATTTTTAGAGAAACTTGCTATGTGAAAATATTTAATACTCCCATGACATGTGATTTATTAAAATTTTTAAAGTTATAATGATTTTTTGATGTAGATCAAATTTAGTCGAAGCTTTTTAACTATTTGTATTGACAAAACTTTATGTAGGTACACTTTAAACTGGATAAGAAAAACTACCACATTTTTAAATACCATATTATACAGTATAATCCATACTTATTTATTTTGGTCAAAATAATTACAAAATCAGATGATATTTTTGTTATAATATATTAACCTACCTTTAATTCAGATATTCTTATTCCATAATAGAGAAGCTAGATTTTTTAAATAAAAATGTTTAGTTAAAATTATTTTATGGAGAAAACCAGATGTTTGGACCAAATGCACAAAAATATTACTTATTTGGCACCATACACTTTGGAATTTCATTAAATGCAGTATTTATGTTCTTAAATTCCTAAACCATACATTGTTATTCTAATGTTATAAAGATTTATACATTTTTAACGCCTAAACATAATATTATTTCTTTCGTTGACTATACTTTGACAGATACATGACCTGAAAAGCCTTAAATGCCAAATTTTCAAAAGACTGCGTTCCGTACGTGGTCACGTGGTGGGACTTTGAGGTGTGGAGCATAGTACGTGAAACACCCTGTATATTAAACATCATTTGCATGAAAAGTTAATATATCAAATAAAGGTTGATAATAATAATACTAATACATATTAGTAAGACCATCCATCGGTCAAAATTTTTGAAAAAAAACTTATAAGTAATATCACTACTCGGGTATCATCTTGATTATTTAACAGTTTTTGATAACCAAGTTGATAAAGCAGTTATTCGGTCTGTTAGCAACTGATTGAGCTGAAATTGCACACACTTTTGGTGCCGGTGAAAATACAATAGTAGTATATCAAACAAAAAAAATACTTACAATGCATACCGCTGATTGGGGCTTTTACAGTCGCTTTCGTTAGCGTTAGAGCTATCGTCTTCTTCACGCGAAGTATTTTGAGACCTCGGAGGAGTATTGGCATCGTCGCTGCTTCCCTCATCCGGCAACCCTGCATTCACCATCAGCCCGCCCCCGCTAGCCCCTCCCACCTGACCCCCATGAGCCTGCGATGGAGGGTTGGTAGATGCCCCTGTAGGGGGGTCGATCTGCAAGAAAAGGGGGGATTAGGTTGATTTTTGTTGTCGTTTTTTTAATCTTATAGCCACGATACACAACGACCGCTACGCTGGTTATGAAAGGAAAACTCGTGACGTCAAGTGCGAGGACTTGATAACTATTTAAATATGCCGGTCTGGCTGTATCATATCGGTTTTTGTGTATCGTGTTCTAGAGGCCTATTCCCTTTCTTACTCTTTATAAACATCAAATTCGTAACACGTATGTTTACCCAAAGACAACCCAAACATCACCTACGTTTAAGGCTATTCAGTTTCCCATATGTTGAAAGTCTTGACCTTGAATCTTTCTAAACAGCGATAAATGTTTCTAGGACAGAAGTATCTTAGTTTTATAACCTAAAAGTCGCAGATCGAAACTAAAATTGTCTTAGATGATTATTTTAAAAATCATTGGTGATATTTAATATATTAAATGAACTGCCAAGTAAACTACGCATTTCTCACATGGAGACTGCAATGTGGGGGAGCCAGTAAAACAACTTAACGACATTGAGAATAAATTAACAGGGAAGTTAGTGGTGGAGGAATTACCATCTTTTGATCTCTGCATTGCCAGCCTTTAAGGTCAACACAGGCAGTGTGGAAGGGCCCCTTCCACAACAAAGACGCCAAGAGAAAGCCATTTTGGAAACGGAATAGCCATTTAGACACCAATGATGTTTATAAACATGGATGTTTAAAGAAATTGAGCGCATGTCTATAGACGAAATAATTGAAAGGGAATAGGCGCATATGTTACGAAACATATGTAGTTCATAAACATGCTTTTTTAGCGAAAGGGAATAGGCCTTTTAGTACCCTAGACCATGGTGTGCTTAAAACTAAATAAATTTAACTATAGACGAGGCCAAACCTGTATGGGTGCGTCATCAACACGATATAAAGATGTCAGCATACTTGTAGAGGCTTAATAATAATTATAATGTATATATTGTATTATTTTTGGCATAGTTATCTTTTTATATCGATATACGTATGAATAGACCTTAACGCTGACGTCATATACCGTTAATGACGTACACCTAAGCAGATTTGGCCTCGACTACAATACAACTTTTGTATTCATCTAATTAAGGTGAATATACTCCAGTACCTTTGAAAATCTAACAGTTTTAATAGCAGATTTGGTTGTCATAACTTTCACAATATTTTAATATTAAGTTTTATTAACATTTTCACTTGCATTATGCATTAGGGTTTATTAATATAAATGTCTAATCTAAATCTACATACAGAGACCAAACCGCTGAATCAATACATTGGACAACTTAAAATTATCATTATTAATCCTGGAGCATCCGCCATTTTTGAAACTATTTAGGTAGTTACTACCGAACTGATTTTGGTGAAATTTGTTATTAAGGTTTCTTAATTTTTAGAAAACAGATTGGCAAAAAAGCTGCTTTTTATTGATTAAAGAAAAAAAACTACGTATAAAGGTATACTAAAGCACCTAATTAGTAATTAGTATTAAATACTAAGTAAAAAACACATTCCAAAATATTTTTTTATAGTTATTTTGTCAAATTAAAACAATATTCGATAACAAAAATACTTTTACTTTAGGTATTTTATTTTATGTTAAAAATAAATATTTATTAATTTGTATACCGATTTTTTACTTCTGAATTAACATTTTTATGTATAATAATCTTAACTATCTTCAACTTCAATCTAATCTGACTTATCCCACAAAATTTTCCAATTTTACTTTTTATGAAATAATGTCATACAACTTATGGTTAAGAGGTAAAATTGTTTATTTAATATTTTTAAATAAATATATATTAATATATCGCAAAATTTTTTAAGTGGACGACAAATACATTTCACTGTCATATTATGACAGTGAGGCGTATTTGTCGTCTCATGAAGAATTTTACGAATGTAGAATACAACATATTAGAACGTGGGTATCTAACATATTTGGAAATATTCTCAAAAGCTTCCTAGAAGCTCCATAAGAAACCTTCTAAGAACATTCCAAAAACGTATTCTTAAAATGTTCTTAGGATGCTTTTTAGGAAGGTTTTAAGAAGCTTTTAAGAATCCAATTGCATCATTAAAAGGGTATCTAATGAATGTTTTAAAAGTCCCTTAGAACATTCTTAGCAATAAGGGAAGGTTCTAAGAATATTCCATTATTCCGGGTAATATCTTCTTAGAAGATTCTTAAAATCAAATTTGCTTGTACTCTCCTCACTACGAAGGTCCTTGATTTTAATTGTTTCAATAATTAAAATCAAAAGGCTTATGTGGTGAGGGTAATTTAAGCTTAAATACTAACAACGCTGGTAGTTTCAGTGAAGATTAGAAGCTTTTGAATAAAGCAATACATATCAAAATAAAATGTGGTTGTAGGTTGTAGGTAAATGACTTTTAAAATAATAACTTAATCAAAAATCTTTTCAGGACATCGCGTCGGTCACGTAATTCAAGAGATGTAAATAATTAAACTGTCAGAAATTTTAATTTTAAAATTTGGTTCGCGTGTATACCCGAATTACACGTATAAAATTTATATGACCTAGATTGTGAAAGGAAGGTATTATGCAATGTATATGTAGTCACTTTAATTGAACTAATTTTTAGGGAAATTTTTTTATACCCTTCCAGAATCACCTAACGAGGAAAGTGTGGATTATAAATACGCTAAAGAAATATTACAAACGAGTCTTTTTGAGAATAAAGCCGGAAAATGTTAAAAAACATCGAAAAAAAAACATGGCTCGATTTGTTGTGTTGTTGGGTGTATTTCGAGAAGGGTTGAGTTTTTATCGGTTTTTCAATAAACAGTGTTAATCTGAATGAAGAAATAAATTAATACAGTCTCTGCAAATATAAATTGTACCTATTAGATACAATAAATACACATTTTAGTAGTGATTAACGTGAAAAATGTAAACATTTCAATTCAGTAATAATCGTCAAACAAATAAGTCGTCTAAATTTAAACAGCATTTAGCATTATTAAAAGCGTTGATTAAGAAAGTCTCCACTCAACGGTAAAATACCATTATATTATGTATTATATATAATATTATGTTGCCATGAATTCGTAGGTTTATTTTGTTGTTTAAAATGCAGTTGTCGGCGTTTTTTAGAGAACTCAGACATAAAAATGGTTGATTTTAAGGTTATGTCTGTGCAAAAATTATTTTTTACTAATTTCTTAAAAATGTCCAAACTTAAATATAAATTATATTGGGTAAAGTTATCATTAGTTAATTCTGCACCAACAAATGTACTAACCGAATTGGATCCTTTGGCAAAACATGAAAATGCAGAGATTTAGTTTTTGAATTTTATTTACAATTAAAAACACAATAATTCACCATGATCCCTTAGATAAAATACACGCACTAACGTAACTATATAAGCATTTAAGCGTTGAGTTTCTTAATCAATGATATAAAGAATAATCAATCGAAATCGAGTACTAAACCAGTTTTTTAGTTTTTTCCTTGCAACGTAAACCACAAATAACGTGCGCGATTTAGCTGTGCAATTGAACAAAATTGAACATGAACAAAAATCCTGATAGCGAGATCCTCTTTAGCGTATAGATCGAGCTGAATACTTTGCATTAAATAAATTGAAAACTTTATAATGTATTGTGATGATGCCAAGTAGCATAAAAAATGTATAGGACATGCAACTACAATTATTTTTCAATAAATAATGGTTATTTCCTATAACTCAATATTTATTGATTGTTGCACATTCTTATACAATTATTTAGTTCATAGTTTCACAGTAAATGGACTACTTAATAGAATTCTCAGTAACTGATACACCCAATATTTGTATCTTGTACGAGGTGTGTTCAGAAAATACCGGGAATTGTTAAATTTCGCGGCTTCGGAGGGTCCGGTTGTCATAAATTTTTATTTATTATGTTGGTATACATGCCCCCGAAGTATGATAAAAACTTTAGCTGTTTTCATTGTTTACTTTGTCTGTGGCAGCCGCTAAGGTTAGACGTGTTTTATGATCTCGGCGATTTTCGTTCGTTAAAAGAAATGGATCAAAGAATTTGTATACAATTTTGCTTAAAAAATGAAATGAATTCTGTGAAATGTTAACAAAGGCCTATAGTGAGTCTGCTATAAGTAAAATAAGATTTTACAAGTGGTATAAGAGTTTCCAAGACGTTGAAGATGACGAACGAACCCGAACGCACAAGCGCATTAAGAACCGATAAAAACATGGAAAAAGTGGAAGAAATGGTTATAAACCATCAGAGAAGTCGCTGATGATGTTGGTATATCGATTGGCTCATCCCATGAAATTTTTTCAAATGTTTTGGGTATGAAACGCGTGGCAGCGAAATTTGTTCCAAAATTGTTAAATTTTGAACAAAATTTTTGGTCAAAAACAATACTGTAATGATGCCCCAGCCTCCATATTCGCCAGACATGCCTCTGTCTGACTTTTTCATATTCCCAAAAATAAAGAGAACCTTAAAGGGCCGTCGTTTTGCAAGCATAGATGACATTAAAAGCGCATCGCTGAAAGAACTAAAGGCTATCTCAAAGATCTATTTTGAAGGCGACAACATTAATGTAGACGAATAAATAAATATTTGTTTGAAAAAACGAAAATTCCCGATATTTTCTGAACACACCTCGTATTGTATTGAATGATAAGCGTAAAGTAACCTGAAATTTGCCATATTAAGGAAAACCTGTCATCTGTCATTTATGATAGCTCTAAAGTGAATAAGGATGATTACATTGATTATAATTATTGCACTCTAAATAGCAAGGAGATATTGCTGATATCGATTGGAAAGGGCTTTTGATTGGTATCCGTAGAGACCAACCCAATACCGGCAAACTGATGTTTAAATTATGCAAATTATTGAAGATGTAGTGTAAAATTTTTATTGTGTTTGAGATGTCTTAAACTGATTGGGAATTATTGACAAAGCCTTTAAATTTAACATAACCCCACAAAATAGTCCAATAGGC